AGTTAGATCTTGAAATAACTTAACTACCCACTAATATACAATGTACCTTGAAGAATGGGCTGTGCATCAGGTGTTTGCCGCTCCTGACAATGGGATCCTCGTAGTCATACTGTCTCTGTAGGGCCTCAGGTAGACCCTTAACAAGGGAGGTCACCGAGGAACTGCTCAAGAGCTGTACAAAAAAAGTTTGGGCAGCAGGTATATATGTATCTGAGAGAAACATGTAATATTATGTTGAATTTATATGGTGAAAACTTTCTAATCTATTCCCTGTGCAATTCATTTCAATAAATTTCCACCATTTTTTTCATTTATATTTTACTATTCCCCTGTTTTTTTCAGATTGTTATTTGACATCTTGTCAATTCTGATGCAAACTTTGTCCCTCAGTCAGTACATTTACAAATGTCAGATTAGACAGGTTTCACAGCACTTACTGCTGTGGAGGATCGAGATGTCAGGTCAGGCTCCGCCGTCTCCACAGTGGGACTGGCCAGTAACGTGTTGACATTGACGATCTGGTCCGAGGTGTCAGAGGTCATCAGTTTTCGTAGTTTCTGTAGAGCCCACATTCTTTGGCTGGACCCTGTAATAAACAGAAATCAAATATGTTCCTTTGCATAAGAAACAAATAATGTCAGGTCATATTTACTTCACTTAGATAGGCATGTATGTATGTTGAAAATGAACATAAATATTGCTATGGGTCATAAATTGACTTCCTTTATCACTCCATTTTTTTTTTACTCCATAACCTTGACTTTTTATTTATATCTTTGAGTCAGATTAATAACACACCTTCTGGTGAAAGATACATTATTTCTCAGTTAAAAACTATCAGTACCTTTTCAATCAATTTCACATATTCTTTTTTTTCCATCAATGACCTTGAACTTGACTAATACTTTTACACTTACATGTTTTGATCAATGACCTTGAACTTGACTAGCATTTCTTTTGGAAAGAAAATTATTCACAGAAACCAACCTAGCGAACTGAGCTGAGCATTGGCAGCCAGAGTAGCAGCCAGTCTGGTGACGATATTCCTGGCCAGGTTTATGTCCAGTTTGAAGTCCAGAAGACAAGTGACCAGGTCTATAGATGGACGTGACAGGACCGTTCTATCAGAGAGCATGTCCATGGGCGCTGCAGCAGGCATGATGGGATACACGGTAAAGTACCAGCCCCAGCCGTTAACGGAACCATCACTGACAAACTTCCATCGCAGCTCATCTCCGTCAATTCGGAGCTCCTGGGACCAATCAGACCATTCTCTTCCTAAAACAAGAGGCCCATGGGCCACATCGCTCACCTGAGAAGCTTTGACCATTCTGTTCTTTACCAGATTTCACCCTTGTTATACATAATGCATCCCCACCCTACCCCACTGATCATAATTTAGACATTTTGAAATCTACACTACCCCATGATCCTTCCATGGGCACATATGTTTCAGCTTTTTTGGCCCAGTGGTTCCTGAGAAGAAGATTTTCAAAGATTTTTCCTATATATTTCTATGTAAAACTTTGATTCCCTATAATGGCCCCGCCCTTCCCCCGGAGGTCATGATTCCTACAATTTAGAATTTACACTACCCCAGAATGCTTTCACATAAGCTTCACTTTTTCTGGCCCAGTGGTTCTTGAGAAGAAAATTTTCAAAGAATTTTCCTATATATTTCTATTAGGGATGTCAACATACTCGATCGAACGTCCGAGTATCGAATACTAAAATCGGTACTCGGTTACTCGGTTACTCGGATGTATATTTTTAATTATTTCTAAGCTTATTTAGTAATGCATTAAAACATCGGTTTTAAAACGTAAAATGTTCATTGCACTTGTGCATACAGTAATTAGGGTTTCCTATGCCTCTAAATGACCGTTATCGCCTGTGGCAGTGTTTATACAGTAATTATCGTGACCAAACACCTGATGTACCTACCCGGGCTTTTCTCACCTTCGACTGTCGTCTTCCCTTACATTTAGTTTGCTTTAATTATTTGTTTTCATTGAACATCGTTTAAGGTCCATTATATTTAAACAAATTAAATAATTTTGTCAATTCTCGAAAAAGCCGTAAATTCTCGGGAAAGAGACAGACGATATTGCACGTGCGATTGTTGATTTGGATGCATTTGATTACATGCCAATTAATAATGCAAATGGTTGAAGGCAAATGCTTTAAAAATCTTATGTCCATCGTTGCTCCAAACTACAACATACCGTATCGTAATTCTATGAAATCTAGGATCAAAAAGTGTACGAAGATCATATAAATCCGCTCTGTTATAGGATAACTTGATCAAGTTTATACCGTACATGTAGCTCAGACAACTTATCACTTGGACGTCAAACGCACCAAAGAGTTACATTACAATTACGGAACAGATTATTTCTTAAACAAAAACACTGTGAACCATTTATGATTTTATTTCTCGTATTCTGGTATTTATCTGATAAATAAATTGAACTTAAAAAAATGTTGGATTAAATTTCGTCGGTTACAAAGTGGTCATAATTGTTACAACGCATTTGCAGGTAACCTCCCATCGGTTTTATTTCTACAAGAGTTTACAATGTTTTACAGTTATCAATTAACTTGTTCATATTTATTTACACTTTTACCGAGTACCCGGGTACTCGATCGGAAAAACGTCCGAGTAACCGAGTATCAAAAATTGACCGATTTGACATCCCTAATTTCTATATAAAACTTTGATTCCCCATTGTGGCCCCGCCCTTCCCCCGGGGGTCATGATTTGAACAATTTAGAATCCACATTATATCAGGATGCTTCCATATAAGTTTCAGCTTTTCTGGCCCAGTGGTTCTTGAGAAGAAGATTTTTAAAGATTTTTCCTATATATTTCTATGTAAAACTTTGATTCCCAATTGTGGCCCCGCCCTTCCCCCGGGGGTCTTAATTTGAACAATTTAGAATCTACATTATATCAGGATGCTTCCATATAAGTTTCAGCTTTTTTGGCCCAGTGGTTCTTGAGAAGAAGATTTTCAAAGATTTTTCCTATATATTTCTATGTAAAACTTTGATTCCCTATAATGGCCCCGCCCTTCCCCCGGAGGTCATGATTCCTACAATTTAGAATTTACACTACCCCAGAATGCTTCCACATAAGCTTCACTTTTTCTGGCCCAGTGGTTCTTGAGAAGAAAATTTTCAAAGAATTTTCCTATATATTTCTATATAAAACTTTGATTTCCCATTGTGGCCCCGCCCTTCCCCCAGGGGTCAAGATTTGAACAATTTAGAATCAACATTATATCAGGATGCTTCCATATAAGTTTCAGCTTTTCTGGCCCAGTGGTTCTTGAGAAGAAGATTTTCAAAGATTTTTCCTATATATTTCTATATAAAACTTTTGATTTCCCATTGTGGCCCCGCCCTTCCCCTGGGGGTCATGATTTGAACAACTTATAATCTACATTATATCAGGATGCTTCCACATAAGTTTCAGCTTTTCTGGCCCAGTGGTTCTTGAGAAGAAGATTTTCAAAGATTTTTCCTATATATTTCTATGTAAAATTTTGATTCCCCATTGTGGCCCCGCCCTTCCCCCGGGGGTCATGATTTGAACAATTTAGAATCCACATTATATCAGGATGCTTCCATATAAGTTTCAGCTTTTCTGGCCCAGTGGTTCTTGAGAAGAAGATTTTCAAAGATTTTTCCTATATATTTCTATGTAAAACTTTGATTTCCCATTGTGGCCCCGCCCTTCCCCCGGGGGTCATGATTTGAATAATTTATAATCTACATTATATCAGGATGCTTCCACATAAGTTTCAGCTTTTCTGGCCCAGTGGTTCTTGAGAAGAAGATTTTCAAAGATTTTTCCTATATATTTCTATGTAAAACTTTGATTCCCCATTGTGGCCCCGCCCTTCCCCCGGGGGTCATGATTTGAACAATTTAGAATCTACACTATATCAGGATGCTTCCACATAAGTTTCAGCTTTTTTGGCCCAGTGGTTCTTGAGAAGAAGATTTTCAAAGATTTTTCCTATATATTTCTATATAAAACTTTGATTTCCCATTGTGGCCCCGCCCTTCCCCCGGGGGTCATGATTTGAAGAATTTAGAATCTACACTACCCCAGGATGTTTCCACATAAGTTTCAGCTTTACTGGCCCAGTGGTTCTTGAGAAGAAGATTTTTTAATGACCCCACCCTATTTTTGTCTTTGCTTGATTATCTCCCCTTGCGAGGGGATATGTCCCTTCATTTTAACAATTTAAATTCCCCTTTACCCAAGGATGCTTTGTACCAAGTTTGGTCAAAATTGGCCCAGTGGTTCTTGAGAAGAAGTCGAAAATGTGAAAAGTTTACAGACGGACAGACAGACGGACAGACGGACAGACGGACGGACGACGGACACAATGTGATCAGAAAAGCTCACTTGAGCCTTCGGCTCAGGTGAGCTAAAAAATTAGTTATTTCGTAATTTTTTTAAGAATCCCATAGAACTGCTTAAAATAATCTACAAAACTGTCAATTTTTGTGATTTTAGGAAAAAATACTGGTTTGAGAGGATTTGATGATTTTGTAAGTTAAGGATAAACTTACATTGTTGTACAAAATTTTAAGCATAAAGAGTGGAGCTCATTACCTGATTTAACAGCCAGGGTTCTACCAGAACTGTCTGAGATTGTCAAGGGATCATGTCTCCTCTCTGTAGAACAACGTCGATCAAACTCCACCCGCAAGGAATCAGCTCCTACAAGAGGGGATTATAAAATGGTCTTACTAAAATCACATAGACTGTACATGTAATTCAATCAGATAAATAACCTGATAGTTAATGAACTCTGTCTCCAAAAAATATGCTATCCATACACTTAATTATTCTGGTGGCTTTAAAATAAAATTTTTTCTAGCTTTTGATTATTTAACGGTATTTTGACTCTTGCCACTCGTTGGTTATTTTACCGGTATTTTGACTCTTGCCATTCAGTGGAAATTTACCTGGTATTTTAACTGTCCCACTCAGTAGTTATTTAGTAATACCTGGTATTTTGACTGTGCCACTAAGTGAGGTATCATCACTATAAGGGTGGGGACACTCCTGTACCACAGGCTGGGGTAGCCTCCCGCAAACCCGATCTGACGCCACATCCTCCAACTCTGTAACACACAGCTCCAACAACATCTCAGCCACCTTACAATAAACACAGTGAATTTCAATTAATATGATTACACAATATAAAAGAATGGAAAGAGGTTGCAGCTGCAGGAGTGACTGAAAAAGCATAAAGACACACTACACATTGTCCAGTTCTCAATCAAAGTTCAAAACAACTAAGGTCTAGCTGCAGTTTCAAAGGTTTCAAAGATAAAGAAAGTACAGCTCAAAACTATCACAAAACTTTTTAAAAAATTTTAAGCTTGATTTAAAATGAAATAAAATTGTAAGAAATTATATTCTAGCATGAGCTGATGACCCTGTCTAACATTACTGAAAATCAAGTGTCCAAAATATTCAATGAAACACAATGGGAGATGTACCTGAGGATATGCCTTGGCCAGTCTAGTGAGGATGTCTGACAGTCCCTCTTTAGCCATTTCTCCCATTCTGGACGCCACAGCAAGCTTCAGAAGTTCTACCAAATTACGAGCATCATTAACAGACATTCGAGCAGTGAAGTCGTCCAGACCTGATGGAAAGTTTGTTGGGCCGGCTTCCATTGTACTCATGACCTCATCTGCAGAGGTCAAGGTCTCAGCTATGATGCTTGTTTCCATGGGAACTAAAGCTGCCAGACTTTGCATGCTTGTATATGATGAGATTTCTGAATGCACCTAAAATAATATGAAACAAAATTATTACCTCTATTATAAATGTTTCACAATTTTCCAACGCAACATCTTTTCGGAAATATTTCAGTCGCAAGCAAATTTATAATTCATGTTTTTACTTGCTTGTAGTGAGTTTCAGGTTAGGACCCTGATAAAGAAGAATCCATATATCAAACATGCATGTTAGAACCAGTTTATGTCTAAATGATATTTTTTTCCTTCTATATGTGAATTGTAAAACCAGTGAGTAAATGGTATTTCTTTATTCTATATAAAACCTACCCCACTGACAGCCTCTGTGACAGTCTCCCCCACTGTCAGCTGTATGTCGGCGTGGTCCAGCACCTCCTCTGTCCCCTCCCGGTGTAGTCCCTCTTCTCTGTCCACAGGGAGCTCATCAGTGCTGGCCGCAAGGGAACCTGTCATACCCAGGGGCTTCATTTCTGGAGAAACTGGCACAGGCTGGCCATCTGTCTCCAGGGACTTTACTATGGCATCTCTGTTTAACATGAAAAATCATTTGAGGATAAATACCATTATTAACAGAAATAATACATGTATCTTATTTTACTTCAGTGAATTACATTTTACATCTTGGAGTCAAACCCCCTCCTGGGCCCTTCCTCACCCCCTTTCACTATTTACAGTAAAACACACTTATAATGAAGTGCAAGGGCTCGAAGAATTGGTTTATTGTATTTCATATCAATTAAGTTCACAATATATATATTTTTTAACTAATTTTATTGTACTTCTCTTTTTTATAAAATAAGGCTACTTAAAAGATAAATTCAGAAAGACCAAAGAGCCTTTACCTGGAGTAGAGAATCTGTAGAGCGGTCAGTATGTAACCCAGGGCCTGCTGTTTACTGGTGTCCGTGTCCTGGGATAGAATGATTTTGGCCAGAGATGGACGTACAGTTTTGGATGTTGAGTTTTGGGAGGCAGTGGTAGATACAGAGTTCTCCTCAGCATTGCTCTCATTCACACCTTTTTTAAATCAACAAAAAAAGTAATATTACAGCTTAATGTTAACTAGAACTGTCCAAACGGGACAAAATACCCCCCGCTGGGTTTTTCAGAAGTAAGTTTTTCCATAATAAAGATATGTATCAAAAACAAATTATGCAATTTTTATTCCAGTGACCTTGAACTTCCCCGAATGACCTTTGGTCAAGGCCATGACACACTTTTGGGTCATGGGCAATCTTTGTGTGAAATGAGAACCTACCAAGTTTATGCATAAGAAAGATATGGACCGAACACAAATTATGAAATTTTTCTACCAGTGACCTTGAACTTCCCCAAATGACCTTGGGTCAAGGTCATGACACACCCTTGGGACATGGGCAATCTTTGTGTGAAATGAGAACCTACCAAGTTTATCCATAAGAAAGATATGGACCGGACACGAATTATGAAATTTTTCTACCAGTGACCTTGAACTTCCCCGAATGACCTTTGGTCAAGGTCATGACACACCCTTGAGAACCTACATAGTTTATCCATAAAAAAAATATGGACCGGACAGGGAATATAAAAAATTTTCTTCCAGTGACCTTGAACATTCCCAAATGACCTTGGGTCAAGGTCATGACACACCCTTGGGTCATAGGCAATCTTTGTGTGAAATGAGAACCTACCAAGTTTATCTATAAAAGATATGTATCAAACATTATTTATGAAAATTTTCTTCCAGTGACCTTGAACTTTCCCAAATGACCTTGGGTCAAGGTCATGACACACCCTTGGGTCATGGGCAATCTTTGTGTGAAATGAGAACCTACCAAGTTTATCCATAAGAAAGATATGGACCGGACACGAATTATGAAATTTTTCTTCCAGTGACCTTGAACTTTCCCGAATGACCTTGGGTCAAGGTCATGACACACCCTTAGGTCATGTGCAATCTTAGTGTGGAGTAGTAGATTCTAATGTGCCTCTGTAAGAAAGATATGGACCGGACACGAATGCACAGACAAACGGACAGACGGACGGACGGACAGACGGACGGACAGACAGACAGACCGACAGACGGACAAGGTGATTCGTATATACCCCCCCAAACTTCGTTTGCGGGGGGTATAAAAAGAAATATACAAAAAATTCAACAAATTCCATCTAGAATGCCCCTCATTTTCTGATATGCCCTCCCCCCCATATCAGTCAAGTCTTCATACAATAGGAATGAATTGTAGTCCTAATCCTTACCCAGAAGTGTTGCCCCCAGGGGATCCCTGGAGGTGGAGAACAGAACTGGCTCATGGGTGGTGGGTACAGACATGTCGGTGGTGGCCCAGGCAATGCTGTGAGAGGAACCACATGCTACCTTACTGATCTTGTACCCCTCCAGCACCACCAGGGCTGGCTTTCTATTGACTGTGGTGGTTCCATTTCCTTGTTGTCCATGATCATTATCTCCCCAAGCATACACCTGCCCAGTGTCAGTGACAGCCAGACAGTGGAGGGCCCCCACAGCTACATGGACAATTTTCTTCCCCTTCAGTCCCTCCACAATCTGAGGCTTCCTTACATGAGCATCTGTTCCATGACCCAGTCGAAAATAGTCACCTTTGCCCCTAAAAAAATTCAAGTACATCAAGTTATCACATATTTTAACATTCCTCTTTGCTTTTTGCGACCTAATAAGTCTAAAGCTGCTGCAAAATTTATTTACCAGTAGGTATGATTGATTCCTTTGAAAAACTGGATGGTAAAAGGCAATGAAATCATTTCATTCTTTATCACATGCAACTTAAAGGGAGTCTATCTCTAGTACATATTTATCATGGATATAAATGCTCACCATGTCCACACTTGTCCAGACTTGGTCAGAGCCAATGAGAACTGGGCACCACACTCAATCTGACACACCTTCTGATCCCTCAGTCTCTCTACTTCATGAGGGACATTACAACCCTCACTCCCCCCTCGACCCAGTTTTCCAAAGTCCCCGTCCCCCCAGGAGTAGACAATGCCCTCGTCTGTAAGGGCCAGGGTCTGGGCGTCCCGACTGCCACATGCCACCTGTACCACTCGCTGATGGGCCAAGGCCTTGACCTACAAAAGAAGTGTCCAGAATAAAGCAATTACCCCCAGAACAGATTGATTTTTGTTCCTGAAGGTGGACTACAAAGTGCAATATCTTTCATTTCTTTAAGTCCCCAAAGCCTGACCTGTTTGGGTTTCAGCTGTGTTGTATTGTCTCCGTGCCCCAGTCTCCCGTATTCCCCTAACCCCCAGGTGTACAGATCCCCGTTAGACGTAATGGCAGCACTATGGGAACTCCCGCAGGCAATGTCTCTGACACGCTTTGATTTCAGGGCCTCAATCAGCCTAGGTTTATCACAGTTCCAGCGACTGAAATGTCCCAGTTTCCCATCATCCCCTTCTCCCCATGAGAAGACCTTCCCATCAGTTGTCAAGGCCAATGAATGTCGTCCACCTATTTCAAATAAACAGATACAATATCAGTCGTGAGAATACTCTGAACCTTTGAACAAAAATTACCAAGTTTATAGCTTTAAATTCAGCATTAGTTTTAAGATTACCTACCAAAATATATATTTGTTATATTTGTTGTCAAATGCTTGACTTGACATTTTTTGTTTATGATATGATGATATCTGCTTGTTGTTACCTGAATGGACAGCCACTTTTTTGACAACATATTGACTCAGTGAGGTGATTTGTCTCGGAACAGAGACAGTCCCCGTGCTGATCCCCAGACCTAATCTCCCATTGGTGGCCTCACCACAGGCATAGACCTTTCCTTCTTGAGTCACTGTAAATGGAGGGAACAAAATCACCAGTAAAAACTCTTGGAATTTCAAACAAATGCTTCCTTCTTGTCATGCAATAAATATGAATTAAAATTAATACAGTAATAACTATAAATAATAATTCTGTAAATCATATATGTTAAATTGATTTTACAAATACATGTTCTTACACCATGTTATTTGCATTTTCCATCAATAAATACATATATCTTTATGCTGTTTGCGTAATAACATTTATTATAAAGGGTCCACATTTGTTCTGAAACAATTTGAATTCCTACAAATTCTCTCTATGAAATAATACTTATCATTCTGTAACTAACTGCTATGCAATCTTTTGTCTGTGCTAAATAACTTTATATTTACCACAAAATAAACTTTTGGATCCACCCACAATCTGCACACATCTCAAAGCAGACAGGTTGTCATTTAAAGTTGGGAGTTTAATCTGCAAGAAAATATACTTCTCTGTCACAAAGCATGTCTTTTTCTTTAAAAATATTAATCACCACTACTAAGAAAAACTCCTCTAACTACACTCTACTGAAAACTTAAAATTATGAATAAGTTGCTCTCATCTGTTATTCTACTGACCTTTGACCCTTTTGGCCCGCCCAGCTGATCCTTGTCATTCAGCCCCCAGCAGAATACATTAGTCTGAATTTCCTTGGTTGTGGATTTCTTCTTCTTTTTGACAGATGAACTATTGACCTTTTCCTCTTCTTCCTCCTCTCTGTCTGAGGCCAGGAACGAAAAGTTAGCGGCGGCATCATCCTCATCCGAGCGTAACCTCCCCAGAATCGTCAGACCGTGAACTTTACAGTCAATGCCACTGCTGCGACATTGCTTGATGCCAATCTCAATGAAGCGAAAGTACTGCAAAGGAAAGAGATGTCAATACATTAACAGAATTAATTAATAATAAAGATGTTTAGTTACACAAAAATATTTTAAATTTTTTATCCAATTTTGTACTCTCATTGATCTTCATGTATAAAGCTCCATTTAAAAGCAGTTTCAAGAGTCAATTAGATAACACTTAATAATATAAAAAATTGAATTTTATTTATTTTTTTGTAAAAATTGAATCTCAGACTCACATCATTAAGGTCCTGCAGAAGTGTAACAATAGACTCAGATGATGTGATATTGACTGCACGGATTTCTCTCATGGAGTTTAATGTATCTCCTGCACTGATCACCACCAAACTTGGCATGTAGCTGGAGTCAGAAGGCTCCACTTTCATGTAGAGTCGATGTAAAAGGATGTCTGGCTGCATTTCTAGTCGGATCCAGTGCTATAACACATAGGAAATAAAACATACAACTATCTGTAAAGTTATCTGCATTTAATCCTAAATTGATTTCAGAATCATATGTTAAATGAATGTGAAATTTGTTTTCAACTTTGCTGGTTTTCTTCAGTTGAAATCATTGTCTTTGGCAAAACAACACAAATTTTGGCTATGTTGCATGAAGGTACAACAAAACATGAACTAGAGTGCAGTAAGAGTGTGACCTGACCCAAACCTTCGAACCTCAGAGCCCTCTGAGCCTGACCTTACCCCCTAACCTCTCACCTTGCCCTGTGACCCTGAGCTCTGCCAGTAGCCATTGTTTCCATTGATGAGTCTGTGAGCCTGATTTTCTCGAGATGACACTGTGATGGCCTTGACACAGGTGTGCCAGTCATCAATGGTGGATCTGGAGGACATGACCCCAAACTTCCTCCTCTGTTTGCCTGCCTTACCAGCAAAAGATGGCTCACAATCTACACAACAAACAATTCATAAAATTACATCAAGTTTTGATAATACCTGTCCAGCTCTCATGACAAACTCTGCTACCTATATTTGTTGTTTATCTTCAATTAAAATTGATTTCAATTTGACTCAAAATGCATTTCAAAGATTGTTACCTGGTTCAGATATTTTGATGAAGACATGACTGTGTTTATGTTTCTTGATACGGAAGCAGTTTTCACACATGTCATAACTGGGACATTTCTGACACTTGTACCTGGGGCCCACTATGGGGAACAGTTCACATTCATCACATCTAAAAAGAGGAACAGTTCCAATGAAATTATTTGGCATTTCAAAATCAGTTGAATAAATTGATCTTTGACATAGAACATAACTCTGAGGATCTGGAGTTTAATTTGAATTTTCTTTTTTTAAACAGAATTTTGAAATAAAAATCAAATTTTGAAAAGGTTAGAATGTCTGATATGTATTTTACCCCACTCCAGGATGAGAACTTGGCACAATTTCCATTTCATCAATAACCCCTGTCCAGTGAGATTGCTGTGGAAAGTCTACTGTTAGATCTCTACCATTGGCATTGATGGCTGAAATGAACATTAACACTTAATTTAGTACAATGACTTTATTTCATGTGGTGACTGTTTACATAGCATTTTATATTTTAAACAACATAGAAATTCAAGGGGAAAAGGAGGTGTATTTACTAAAAAATACATGTTAACTATAAAATATAACCGAAGGAAAGGTATTCTAATATGAAATAGAAAAATATTGCAACACAAACATGAACACATGATCCTGCTGAAACTTCCCCAATAATCTGAAATCTATTCAATAAAATACCTGTAACAGTTCCAATGCAGTTATGGGACACGGACCCCCACTTGTAGGTGGGCGTTACCACATTAGGTTTGACGTGAACCTTGTCTCCCACTGAGATTTTCTGAGTGGACCCGGTTTCATTTCCCATGAATCCTAGAATCTCCACATGGATATATCGGACCCAGTATGTCCCACCTTTCCTCTGCCAGTCAGCCTGGATGTTCAAGTCATGGAGACCATCTCTGTCAAGCTAAAATTGAAGTAAACATTTATCATTCAAAATTCACATCATCCCAGGCCTGTTTTTAGCAAATAACAGGTCCACAGGTATTTACCTTTAAAAATTCAAAATTGAGAATTTTGAATTTTTTATTATACAGTGGCTCACATTATTCTTGATATTTGCAAAAAATGTTTTCTTCTTTACCTTGACAACTTTGCCAATGTCCCCCTCATGAACCTCTTCATAAGTGCGGCAGCACCTGACACTCATGTTGGGTTGGATGGTGTCCCTGACGTACATGGCATACTCGTCGTTACTCAGGAAGTCGGCCCGTTTCTTGTACGTCTGTTGTGTGGGAGCCGCCGGTGGAACCAACCCTGCTGCTTCGTTATTCAAGTTCTGAAATTATAATTAAATAAGACAGATTCTTCTAGTGCAAGGCATTCCAAATGATTCCAAAACAAACTCCTTACTCATTGACACAATGAATTCTGAATTCTAATCATATACATGTACTAAATGTAGAATAATAGCATACAGATTAAAATTTTGAATTCATAATGTATACGTCAGGGAACTTTTTTTGCCCCCCCCCTTTATTTTTACAACTTTGTCCCTGACCCACGTTAGCAAATTTAAAACCGAGTGAATTCAATGATGACAGCATTATCCCTTAAATGAATTGGAATCTGGAAGAATTTAGAATGGGACATACTAGTTTGTGTGAAAGGGAAAAATAACAAGGGGCAAAAATTGACCAATATACAGTTTCTCATCTAGGGCATTTTAAAAATAACTTACCCCATATGTCATAACCTCTGTGTTTATGTCGAATGAGTTCTCTTCCTCTAGATCTTCTGATGTGGCATCAGAATCCGTGGAGTACTCCTCTGATTCGCTATCACTATCCTCCACGTCATGGACGTTAATCTGGGGGTGCTCAATCAGCCACCCCACCAGGGCCTCAATACTGGGCTGGTCAGGGTTAGAGACCAATGATGAGCCTCCTAAAAACAGAAAAACATTTTTTTTTTTTTAAATATATTTATGGAATTTGATATAAATTGTAGACTTAATGTCAACAAAATGATGATGACCTTCTATACATACGCAAAAGATCATGTCTAAAACTACCAGTAGGTACCATACAATTTGAATGCATTAAAAGCTTCCATCGTTTATAATCAACAAGGTTCTGTAACTTAAAGGAATATGGACCAATAGTCTTTGTTCAACTAAGTACCTATAAAAATGACTCACCGATAGCCTTCATCGCCAGTTTGACATTTTTCTTGGTAAATCCCATTTCCATGAGCTGTGTCACCACCGGGCTGACTTCGGGCTGAGGTTCCTGGTTTCTGGTTTTCCTGGGTTTGTGAGGCCGGTTTGTGTTATTGGGCACCTCAACAGGAGGTCTAATGGGAGGAGCCTGCTCATTCTCACTCTCAGAATCGGATGATTCAGAATCATCAATTTCTAGCTGGCTCGTTGCAGTCAGGTACTGCGCAACTGCCAAGGCAGCACCCTGTGAAATAAAGAAAATGTTACATATTAGAACTTCTATCTAAGAACCCAGTTGCAAACAAGTAAAGTTGATTTCACTAAAATTTGAATGATGCTTATCATCCTTAATCATAAATATATAAGTTTACAACCTACAAGAATTGTGCATGTTTTAGATTGCATTCAAAAATGATTTTGAATGCTTTTGACTCATATTTAAATACCAATTGCAGATACTACTCTTGATAAAAATATCCTTTAAAATGGCCAACTCCATCTCACCTCTAGTTCATCTCTGGAGAAGACGGCTTTGATGGGAGAAGGCTGGGTGGCCACACTCATTAACTGCTGTAATATTGTGTTGGAAGACGATGATTCACTCTCTGGATCCTCATCGCTGATCTCTTCCACCCCAGCTTCCACCTCTGATAATCCTTGATCCACCACTGAAATTCCACTCAGGATCTGTCTGAGATGGGACTGACAAGACAACAGGACTCTGGAGGCTCGGAGCAGTCCCAGCTTTAGCTGTTGTTTTCGGAGTTCTCTTACATCAACACCACTGGCTGCTATACATATACACAAGAAAAAACATCTAATTAGAAATTTGGCTGCAGAAAATCTTGAACCGAATCATTTTTTTACAATAATTTTAAAAGACAATATAAAATTCTACAACTGATGCAATCATACAACTGGTCTCAGTATCCAGTATCTTAACCCTACTAAGTACTGTAACAGAAATGTAAAAATACAATCATGGATGTAAACAATAAAACTAATTCTTCAAAGATCATAAAAATTTTCACATTAAGCCTGAATAATAATAGCAAAAGTACAACACAGTAATAATAAATTCCTAAGTACTGCATCACAAGGTACACTTACTAAAATAAATTTTGCCCTTTCTATTTTTTTTAATTTCCAGACAAAAAATATTTTGCTCGATTTAAGAATACAAGTATATCTATATCTTAATTCCTCTATTATTTATGCTACTTTTACCAGAGTTTATTCATGATTTAGATATTATTCTATAAATAACTTACACGTCCGTTCAGATTCAATACTGGCAGTGCTGGAGGCCAGGGGTCTGTCTTTGGGGAAATCCTTCTCCATCTTCAATCCTGTTGCAGTGTAACCAACAATGGCTGACCACATTTTGATGACATCTGGTGTCATTTCCAGCTTACTCACACAGAAATCCTGATTCCCAGCCTGTATTTCACAAGCACATTATGTTCATCTATAATTTACTCATTTAAAATTTTGCTTTGGTTATTATCCTTATAATTTTCCAGAAAAAATTCAAAATAATTAAAATTGACATGTGAACAATATCAGCATACCTTGCTTTGCAGAATTTGAAAAATTTGAAAATTTAAAAATAATTGTCATTAATTCTACTGAGAGCTACTAGTATTTCTCTTAACATAATCCCAATGAGAGAGTTATTTCCCCTATCACAAGGTCAATGGACCTTAATAAATTGATTTTTTCAATGAAGAAAAATCTCAACATGTGATTAAGAATTCATCATGTCATAAGAATAAAAGCCATTTCCTTACCACAACTATTTCAGATAATCTACAGGCTCGCAAACTGCCATCTTTGAACTGTACATGTATTTTTCCCTTTGAAGTGATCTTGGCAATAGTACCACTGCCATAGTCTTCATGTTCCACCCTTCCACCTAACCTTGCCCTGTTATCAATTCCACCAATTACAGCTAAGCAAGCCAGAACAATGGGCAAACGATCTACTAAGACAGTATCCTCAGATAGAAGTTCCTTAAAAATAAATTGGTATTTAACCATGGTTTTCATTATACATTTACTGGAGCTTACTAACATTTGTTAATAACATGCACTTTTATTTCCCATATTTGAATAGTTACATTGAATTTTCATGCTTTGAGAAATGGAAAAAGAAATGCAAAATAATCAAGGATGGCCAAAAACCCATTCAAACCAGCTAATAACACAAAAGTAATTAAAAAAACACCAGGAAACTATAAAACTTTTACTAATTCAAAATAAGCTCCTGTACCTGCGATGGACAGACTTTTTCCACCATCATGTCTCCGATGTTGACCAGCTGATCGGTGATGTAGGTGTTGATGTGGGGGTTCCAGCACTCGCTGACGTGGAGGGTGCGTATCAGACACACTAACTCCTCCCCCACGGTACTGGTGTAGGAGGCAGTCAGGGAGACCGACACACACGGCTTGTGGCCCTTCCTCAGAATGTCATCTACAGGGAAAACAAATACATGTACCAGCATTAGCTCAGAAATTAAATATGGTCAATCATTCCAAAGGAAAGTTCAAACCCCCCCCCCCTTTCCAAAAAAAAATTTGTGGATCTACTATGCCAACTATAAGATTCAGAATGCTATAAACCATTTTGTTTTCATGACACCTTTTATTCAAAAGGCATAAATTTAAAATCTATATGTGAAGATCAAATTTTAAGACAGCATGAGGAGACTTTTGTAAAAAACAAAAACATGTATTAAAATTAATTGTTTCATGGCAAGAAGAATTCTGAGTAAAGGAAGATTATGAAACCCACAGATATTTCTTGCACATGAATAATAGTTGGTTTACAGTATATTTTATAACTGTTCTTACTCTGTGAAAAAAGTGTAGGGTCAGCAGAACATCCCATGATGACTTTGCCCAGGAGATTAAACAGCCTCTGTACGATGGTCTTCACTCGGGTTTCATCTGTATTCTTACTCCAGTGAGGCAGCACTGACTCCAGAAACCTTAGAATAAGAATCTAAAATACAATGAATAATGTTAATGAAATCAAATTCAAGGAATTATTACATTAATTTTTATTTTTTCTTGTTTCAAGGCTATCTATTTGGAGTTCTTCTAAAACAGCAGCATATACAGTAAAACATGCGTAAATGAATTAATGTTAACAGTGAAGTGATGAACTTAATTGATATGACACATTTGGTTTAAAAAATGGTAAAATTGTCCATACCTGGCATTTTGTCAAAAGCATCTTTTACTATATAACTTTATTACTCTAAACATATTAATCCAAAATAGAAAATTTGCTGCCTACTGAAAGTTTGTAAACAGCATTAAAATCATGATGATATACTGGCATTTCTAAATGCTACTTTAATACTTAATCCTACGGCTTGTAAATTTGAAGATTGTAATGTAGTCTGACCTGCTTGATGATATTTTTGGTGGGTTGGGAGGGCTTTTCATCCTCCAGTATTTTTAGTAACAGATCGATCCACTTCTGTGAGCTGAGGGCTTCACAGATGACTGGACTTGTTGCGATTGATCGAATAAATCCCAGTGTACACCAGCTGTAGTGCTGCTCACTAGCAATCTGTGTGGGGATGTAGTTGGAATCTGAAATAATCATTTCAATCTCTGTTATGACTAATGCATTGAATACTCCAAATGTATTATTTTATTTGGCATGTACGATATCTGACAGAAAGTGATTTTTTTCTATAAGGGAGTGAAGATTTAAATCAAAACTCTCTGATTGCGCTTTATATAAAAATATGTATACACAAGACTGTTGAAAATTAATTACGGGAAAAGTGGTATACAGAATACACAGCTGAATGGAATACAGTACTTGTCCTGCATTAAATCCCTATCATTTAGCAAGACCTAGTAGACTTTTTTCAGACCAAGTGTTACAAATTGTTTTACGGCACTATCTCTTAAAAGACTTAATTCTACACATACTTATTCCGTAATTGCATCCTGCATCCAGAATTTTCCTCATCAACCCACACAATGCACTGACAGCCTCTTTCTGAGCTTGTTCTGCGTATATTCCACATGACAGCGAGAGATTGCGCAATAGATAAAGAGTTGATCGTCGTATTACGGCTGTCGGATGCCGACTCTCGGCCTTCACAGGGTCTGCATAAAGCAAAAGACTACTTAGCACATAAACATGACTAAATTCCTGTAAATGTTGGAAGGTATGGCTGTTGTTGTTTTAGACTTGGCAAGCATTTACATGTATATACTAACATAATAGACTTTGTGGTTAGAAAGTTGTATACTTCCTACTTCCCTCCCTTCTTCATTTATAATGTACATCATTTATAAAAAGTACATTTTTCCCAGTCCTCAATACATAAGATATAAAAGAACTTTACTGATTATCATTACAATTGTTTCACGCTGCTAATATAGTTATTAATATCAATCTAAACAATTATTATCTTTTTTCATATAAAATACATTAAGATGCTAACAAATTAAGTTACAATGCAGTGGAACAATCTTTGTGTAATACTGATTTTACCTGTTTCCAATTCATCGTCTTCATTATCATCATTATCAGGCATTTCTGGGGGCTCTGCCAGCTTGAGGTCATATTTGCCCTCCTTGCCCATCCTGTAACTGTTTGTGCTCCCGGTGTCCCAGTGAATTCGGATCCACCCATCATCCCCTAACTCCCCAATCACTCGCCCCAGACTAGGGGGAGGACCATCCTAAAAAAATCACTCCAGTATCTGGCTTTATGTTTACTTTCTAAGTAAAAATCCATTCATTTGACCTATAAACCTTGACCTTTCTCTGATTAACCTTACATATCTTTATTTTTATTTCCTGAATAAGAATTCAATGTTCTTTGACCTATAACCTCTGACCTTTTTCTGTTTAACCTCACCTGATCCCCCCATTTCCAGTCCACTCCCCTCATGACCCGAGTCCCGATTTTCATCATGGCCGCCAGTTCGGGGCCTGAGATGGGAACAGGGGCCGACTGCTTCTTATGTTTCTGTTCCTCTAAGACGGCACACATGGACACCATGTTATCCTGAAGAACTCTGTCAGGATCTGGCCCTAGAGAAAGGAAAGAATCTTTTCATAAGGTGGTGTAGTTACTCATTGGTCACAGTCAGGATTTGTTTCAATAGTATGAAAAAGAGATAAATTCACATTACAGTTAATTCTCGATAAACCGCCACCTTTTGTGATTTAGAAATCATGGCGGTATAACGAATTTGGCGATGAATTGAATTTTCCATCTTTTAGGAAATAAGACGTAGGGTTATCGTTCTTAGAAATACCATTTAGCGTTTCTATTCTTATTATCACATGTACATGTATTTAAAAACATATTTTTAAATTTGAAAATACTTCAAGTAATTTTTTTATGTACAATTTCGCTAAACAAAATATTCAGTTATGAAATTAAGACAAGTACATGCGTATGCATGTTGCCCTATAAAAAAAAAATGCGGGGTCGATCTGATATATTGCCTAAATTAGTATGTAAAATAAGTTCTTAAATAAATTCATTGTTTATAAAAGCATTGTTAATGAAACGTTCACAATTTCTGACTCATATTTATTTTTAAAGCAAATTTTGCATTGTTTTTAAAAGCAGAGATCATGAAAATAATTCGTTATCGGCGAAATTTACAACGACCGCTTTCGTGGCTAAGCCTTAATTATATGATTTTATTAAACAGAAAAACAAAATTATTCTAACAGTTCATGTTAGAATTATTGTTTTCTTAATTGCATGTACCTTGACTGGCTTTGCATGCTTTACAACAGGGATAGCGTCAACCAATTAACCGTGCTTCACTGACCACATGCACCTGTGGCGGTATTATCGAGATAATTGACATTTAAAAATGGACGTTTGTTTTGAAAACAGGGTGGCGGATGGCTTTTGGCGTTATAAAGAGAATTTTATATAGCAGGAAAAACGTTCTTGGGAAATCATGGCGGTATTGCGAAAATGGCGATGAATCGAATGGCGATAATTCGAGAATTGACTGTATTTACTTTTATTTGAAAGGGTCAAAGTCTTTTTTTATTCCCTTTTCAAATGTTATTATAACAATCTCACCGATTTTGACTGGAGAACCCCTCATAATTTTATGACACAGAGGTACTCATTTTCCAACATTATAGTCCTTTTTCTAAATGTAGCAGTTAAATGTTTCTGAACATTCTTTTTCTCCATTACATTGATGAGTCATGTCTTAATCTCTCTGTCCCTTACCTACGAGTCTCATCAGAGTCTGTGACAATCCCAGTACCCCGGAGTTGAGTAGTAAACTGAGACTACTTGACTGGTGCTCTGACACCAGGATTCCCAACATGGCCAGAATAAAACGGGACTGGGGAAGTGCTCCTAGACTAAGTCTCTCCTAAATACATATTTACAGATTTAACATCAAGTGCTAATAAAGCTGTTACTCAACAATCTTTTCATTTTATAAAATTATCAATGACATTATTTTTTCAGTCTAATCTTTTAAACTTGATAGAAAAAAACTGATAAAAAAAAAAATTGGTGAAAGTTTCAGAAAAGTAAGAGTATTACTGGATATGGAATGTAAATTACAAACATACACCATGTACATGTAACTTCAAAATTGTACCTTGCTGGTATCAACTGGAGGAATAGCAGGATTTATCCCCCTTGATTTGAATTTCATGTCGGCCTGAATGACAGCTGCCCTTAATTCTTTGATGGCCCATTTGTAGAGGTCAGAATAGGTCATCTCTAGGAGGATTCTGTCACAGGGGGGTATCAGCTGGACCCCTGACAGACAGTGAGGAACTGGGGGGCTAAAAAATGATAGAAAATCTTAATGATGTATAACCATATCTATGTAGAAAATAATTTTTAATTTTCACTAAAAGAATTTTTCCAAGGCCAGACACACAAAAAATGTCAATTTTTAATCAGCTTAAAAAGAATATATAATTTTCCAAAATGATTTGTGTTTCTAAAAGATTTTTTTTAAAAAAAGTCTTTTACATGTTTTTTTTTTTTTTTTTTTAATATATTACAGTTCATAAAACAGATAAAGCAAAGAGAAGCAGACACATGTACTCAAACCTCAATGTATTATTTAAAATAGAAGTCTATGTTAATTAAACAATAGGATCAGGTATGTCTGCTACTGAGTTTTTGGACTAATTCTTTACCAGATTCGCTGTCCTATGGTTAGTAGACCCTGCCACCCACACAGAATGGCATATTTACAAGAGGACAACAAATAGTCACGGTGTACCAGGGACAGCATAGTCTGGATACCACTCAGTCGCATCTGAGCCCTCTCCACCTTAAAAATACAACCATGGCTAGTTCAAATGTGATGTTTCAGGATCAGCATGGCTAATTATGGCTTACTGTAGTCTTAAAGTCTAGAAGTATAGTCATGTAATACTATAATTATGTTTTTTTTCATTTTCTGACCCCTTTCCACCTTTAAAATGAAACAAGCATATAAAGTGTAATGCCTAATATAAGGATCAGCACCGCTTATTAACACTTATTGTGGTCTACATACTTAATATGTGTACAACGAAGTTTTCACTTTCATCAGTTTTATAAGAGAAATGTGTTAATTAATTATTACTGTGAAATTCGATTATTCTGAAATAAAATTTATGTTATGAATTTTCCCTTAAAAAAAAAAGCTAAATTCATACAACAGTTACCTGATGGTGCAGGGATCGCCTGAGTTTTTCAATATCAATAGGATGTTCGTACAATACAAATTCTATGATCTTATTCAACAGCGGCATGTCTGTTATATGTCCAGTCATTCTTTGTCTCAGCCAGCGGAACTTCTGGGCACTGGTAACAGTACTGGCTATATCTTTCCAGGAATCTTGCTGTAAAACACATCATTATCTTCAATAAATATCAAACAAGTTGCATAACAAACAAGTTTTCCATCATTTGAGCTGACCTTAAATCAAGAAGAATGACTACAAACCCTTTTAGTTCTGTGAACTTTGACCTTGTGATCTACCACAGTGGCTCCCCCCTCTGGTTCTTCTGTCTTTTTGGGAGCGCCCCCTTTTGGATAAACCATGACCTCAAATTCATCCTCCCCCGATGGCTTGCTGGTTTCTATGACATTCTCCTCGGCTGGAACTTTCTCCTCTTTATCAGGTCTTTCTCCACTTTCTGCTCCTGGTGACAAAACTTCATTCTCCGCTTTGACATCAACTGGCTCCTCCCCTCCTGTCACAAACTCCACCCCAAAATCACAGGCCACTACAGGAAATTAACAATAAATCATAAACTCCACCCAAAATCACAGGCCACAACTGGAAATTAACAATAAATTTTCAATTTCTATTCTATTTCTAAATCTATGAGCCATTTTCCTATTAGGATTTTTTGATAATGGGTCTTGTTAAGGAATTATGTGCTAGAAAGAAAGAAATAATGACTGTAAGAATAAAATCTACAATAATCCAAAATATCCTTTATTGAAATTGCAAGTTTAAAACTCTTTGATACAGAAAAAATGAAGACAGTCTGTATTTGCATACAAATCTTTGTATCATGTTAAACAAATTGCTATAAATATAATAAAGCCTTCTGGTGACAATTATAAAGTAGAATGTTAAGCTCCAAAATATCACCCCCCCCACCCCCAATCCTCTGAAAAACAAACAGTACCTTTGGTTCTTTTGGACCTTCTCTTGTCTTCCATCATTTTCAGTGACACCTGTTTCCATCTGGGAATACTTTTAAGCAGACATGATCGACTCATGGCGTTAACCTCGTTACCAATGGCCGGCCTCAACTCATTGAAGAGAAACCTGCATCTCTCTATCACAGGGGCACACACTTCTTTGTAGGACCGCCCTTGCTCTTGGTGAATCTAGAGTTAAGCATTTTTAAATATTTCAAACTTTAATCATTTTGAACGATGAAAAGGATTTACATACATGTATATACGGGGGTATAATAATATATTTCATTCAAATATTATGCTTTTATAGATGACATATTGCAAAACTTTTGTTGATAAAAATAAATCAACATATATTCATAGGAAAGCTGTTTTGAAATCCAAAGCAACTTTCAATTTAATAATGAATACAAAATCTCAGTCCTATTTCAATCATTAACTTCATAAATACATGTACTAATAGTTAAGGTCAAATGGAAACAGACATTTCAATCAATCCCCTATACCTGAATGAGGCTGCGTTTTGTTTTGCTGACTACTTTGAAGAGTTCCGATATTGACTTTGGAATGGAATGTTTGGTGTGTTCTTCTTGTTCAACTATTGCTATAGCTGCATGTCCCAAGTCATGGTGCTTTAGAAGAACTGCTAAGAGGATCCTGACAAGGAAAGTTTAATGTTGTCATATATTGTGTATTTATCTTCAAGTTTTCACTCAAAGATCTGTCTGTAGCCTTTACCCAGTATACATGTGCAAGTAATCAAGAATGAAAACGTCTATGTTTTGCTATGGAAAATACATGTACCAAGCATATGTCTTAGATGCAACAGTAAAATAAATGATGCACAATGACATTATGAAATTGAAAAAATTACTAAAAAATTAAATTGCATTCTGTGGTTTAGGACGAGTTGCAGATAAGGTATAGCTACCCCCAAATGTAACAGCCATACAAACAGAATGATGTAAGGTTTAACACCCCATAACTATACACTCCCCACTTCCATTTTTTAATTGGGCATAACAAGTTTTACCACATACCTGCTGACCTCCTCCAGGGGGTGATCAAGGGGAAATTCTAGTGCAAACAAATGATGATGCTTCTGATACTTCTCCATCACAGATAGGAATGTTTTGACTGCAGTGTCTTGGACACGGCCTTCTGCTAAGGATGCCAGGAAGGGGCGGGATGTATCGGCTTGTGACGCCTGTCTGTCAAACAGCTTCTCCTTCTCTGATAGGCCAGGCACATGTCTGACCTCAGAAGTGGGTGTGGCTCCTGTGATTTATGAAAGATGAATACATATTTGTTCCAAAAATTTGAGAATAATTACTATGTTTATGAAATAGTTTGCACATCAAAGGAACTATAACTCTTCAAACTGTTCTTACCAGGAGTTGTCCCTCCTGAAGCAGATCCTCTGCTTTCTCCTTTTTCCTCCTCAAACTGATTTTTGGGTTGTAAAACTTGCAGTCCCCCGGCAAAGAACTCCGATTTCAGCCAATCGTGATACTCCTCTTCTTCTGCTGATTGGGGGGTTCCCCTGGCCTGGTACGCTGCCTGGAGGCCGAGCAGCACCCCCAGGGTTCGCTGTGTGTCCGCCAGTGGGGAGGAGGCAGTGCTTGTGTCAGAAGTTTGGACAATGTCTTTCTTTGGCTGTTGATAAAATAAACCTTGATTTGTAATCAGTTTTCCAGAGAAGTATATTCTGTGAAATCTCTAATTTTCCTGGGGGGTATAATATTCTCGGTTTTTGAGGTTTTGAGAGACCCACAAATTTATGACTACCACAAATGTAAAACTGCATATGCATTACATGTACTACTAAACATTTTCCAACCATGAAATCAAATCCCAATATTTTTTCCACAAACCTTGAAAATTTGACCCCACGAAAATATGTGATTTTACAGTATATGGCTTCTTCAAAGTAGAGCATTGCCTTGCACTGCGTAATACATGGATTACTAGTTTAAGTATCTCTGTCTCATAATATGCAAAATTTAGGAAATATTTAGGGTAGTAGTTATGACTTATTCATCACATAACAACTTTGAATTCACCCCCTTTGGAGAATTATTGCAGCTAAAATCAATGCTTTTCAAAAAAAAAAAAGTTTTTACCCTCTAATTGACTTACATCAAGGTACTGTCCAACATAGAAGGACTTCATCAGTTCTCTGGCTTCATCTGAATGATGCTCCAACTCAAAAGCTTCTGTGGCATCTTCGGCTGAAAACACATATGAAATTCTAAATTTAAAACATTTTAACATATACTTCCAAAATACATGTACAGTAAAACCTCATTATCTTGAACTCAAAGGGGCAGAGATTAAACTTTGACATACTTGAGGATTCAAAATAATGGGGTAAAAAAATGAAGAAAATGTAGTTTGCACTACCAAATTACTTAAAAATATACCAGGTATTCCAGATATTGAAGTTCCACTGTATTTGAACATTACTGTATGCATGTGTACTTCGAATAACGAGCTACATATTTTAGCAGCTTTAAAATGGGGCGAATTCATGAATACTATATAATTTCTATAAACAAAACTATGTATGGGCATGAAAGCGTGTAAATTGCACAATTCAAAGGCATATCCATTGATTGTGCTAAATTTTGAATATGCTAAATTATGTACACATACAGTACTTTATAGTAAAAATGGACCTGTTTTTGTTTGGTGCAGATGGACAGTACAAAATTACCTGCAAATTGAAGCAGTTTCTCACTTCCACAAGGAGCCTGGGCTTTAAACTCCTGTATGTCATAAACTTTGCCGTGGATCACTACCCATAATCCCCCATCTTTGTTCTGGTTCTCAAGGTCAGGTTGACGAATGATATTGATGTCCTCGTTTGATTTCTGTGTGTATTTCTCCAAAGTGTAACCTGAACAGACAGGAAAAAGAAATTACTGAAATTGATCATTATTCTCATTTCCTTATACATTTTCTTATACATTTCAGTTGTAGAGCTGTATATATATATCTACATCTTGTATGAAGCATATTTTCCATAATAGCAGATGATCTTATCTTTTACTTGTCACCCAGGTTAAGAGTAAAAACATCTTTCACTCATCACATGGGTTGAGGTAAAAGATAAGATCAGCTAGGGTATCAGATGATATTCTTTTCCTCTTTAAAACTACTTTACTTTTCTAAATAATTTTTCATCAAAGGTCGACTTACTCCAAACCCCTGGCCAGGCTAGATCCTCCTTGTCGTCCCGGTCCAGCCCCGGGGCCAGTTTGTTGTAAGTGTCCAGTATGTCAAGTATTTCCTCCAGCACGGGCACTGACCGGGAAGACTGAATGACCCCCGGGGCCTTCAGCTGCAGCAGCACCATTGAGGTCACCATCTCAGGTAGCAGGACACCTGGACAGGAAAAATTATTTCTATTAATGAAAGAAATCTGGGAAAAGTTTTTATTCTTAACTGCTACATCATATGTGAAAATTTTTACTACATTAAATTGATTATATCCAGTAAGATGAGTTGAACAAGATCAATTTTTTTAATAAATGATTAAGAATTGTACTCATAAAAGTTCTAGTCAGTATTTCATATTAGTATATTTACATTTACTTTGTTTTATTCTAATAAAAAGCATTATAAAATTATAAGCTGAGAAGGCCATAACAATAACACTCTCATGTGTCCTATGTGTTTTCTTATCACTTTGAAAACATGTACAGTAGAAACTGTCTATTCTGGCACCTGTACAATCCATTTATATTTTTTACACACAATGTCTTTACTGAGATTGATATGAAAAAAAAATTTGATTATTTGGCCTCTTTTATTGTGCATTATTTTTGTTTGCCCATTTTGGTTTGTGTGCAGTATTTATCACTTGGACTGTTGGTGAACACGTATCTATTAATTGTGATGTAATTTCACATTTAGTCATGCATTATGACGTCAGAAATTTTATTTTCCTTCAATTCTGTAAATGCCTTTGAAAATGACCTAAAATTGAAGCATTTTTTCAGTATTTCATATAGAGCACAACCTCTGATCCAAAATATGCCAATACATAACGAAAGGCCTATTTCTGAAGATCAAAAAACATGAGTCATGTTTTGCACACACCTGTGCAGTTATATTTTTATTCTTTGCTGAAGGTAGTCAAATACGCATATTTTCTGCAAATTTCAAAACATTGCAATTTCTGCCTGTTTTCAAATATTTGGATTCTAAAAACGAAATTTCATTATAGAACATGAAAGCACCAAGTGTCTACTTTATTTTGATATATGAAAATGGAAAGAGGGTGATAGTTAATTAATAGATATAAGTACAGGGCCATTTTATGTATAAGATGGCTCTTGCTCTTTGTCTCCCAATTTATGTTGGATTTAACAGATTTCATAGTATCTTTCATTGATTTATTCTATTTGTTATCAATGTCTGGTGCCTGATATTTTGCTACTGCTTCTGGCACCGTTTTTGGTGATCTTTTGATTTAATAATTATGTTTCAACTGTATTTCCACAAATGAAGTCTTTGTCTTTAATTTCAAGTTTTTCTTGAAAATTTTTACAACCCCCATTGCTTTCAGTAAAATTTTTTGAGGCGGAATTTTGTCACTTAAGGTAAAAAAAAGTTCAAGTTCGTTTGATAAAGAAGTGATAAGACGTGTCTTGTTCCTTAAATGTGTTCCGTTTCTATCTCTTCAAAGAATATGATGCAATTTTTAAGGACACGATGCAATGTTTAATTGACAAGCAATGCTTTATAAACAATGTCAATTCATACAAATATTTGATAATTAATATTTTTTTTTGTATTCACATGACTTTCAATACACCATGAGTAAATTTATTCTGCTGCAAAGGACAAGTCAAGAGTTGCAATTCAGAACTGTTGAACTTGCTCTCAAAATATGAAGGACCTAATGATGCAATCAAGAAGAAACTATAACTTTACATGATATTTCATCATACTTTGATGGACACCACAACCCACACATTTGTGAAACCTAACCCTCCCATATTGTTCATAGAGGGTCAAAATGACCGAGAAAATTCATACTAAATTAACTAATACAATGAAATCATGCACCTTTCTGACCTCATATGACCCGTCATTTTAAGACATAATCCTGAGCGATTGATATCAATGAAAACAAACACAAGCGTCTACATTTGGCAATAGATAACAAAGCATATATAAGGTATAGAAGTCAAACAGTTTATCATTACAAGCTAAAACCAATCATCAAAATGTATCAAACTCTTTCAAGCAGTTTAGGATTTCTTTTCCTATGCCTGAGCTTCATCCATGGACAAAAAACCATTCCAAAATCAACGCCTAGCGAACAAGTGGATTCTAAGGTTAATCAACGACTTATTCAGCTTGAAACAACTTTAGAGTCAGTAATAAAAGAGTTGACAGCCATCAAACAGGAAAATCAACAGCTTCAGCAAAGGCAGAAAATGGCTGAACTCCAAGAAAAAATCCATGACCAGCAGATTCAGAAGTTACAACAATGGAATCAAACTGTCCAAACCAAGATTACTTCCCTGGAGAAGTCACTTAGAGCTGTGCAAAGGGAAAACAAAATGATGAGAGTTGAACTTGATCGTTTGAACACCAACTTGCCTCTCTTACCACAAGACACCAAACTGATGGATCAACTACACAACCTCAATTCCACATCCATTTTCTTACTGAATCAAAATGCCTTCATGAAAGACCAAATGGAGAATCTGAATTCTAGCTTCAAACACTCAACTCTTGATGCAACAAGATTGGAAAGCACTTTAACTGAGAAATTAAGCCAAAGAATCAAAGATGGCAAACAAGAAATGATGAACAATATGTCTGCTGTCATGAAGGATCTAGAAGTCAAGCAGCAAAATTTATCACTTTCACTTTCAGATGTAAAAAATAAAATGGCTCCACAGCTAAGCTCCGTACTTCAGCAACAATTGACAAAGGCAGAGCAACAGCAACTTACAGAGTCAAATCCGCAGGATTTCACACAGTCTTATATGCAACCCCACAGCAACAGAGCTGCACCAGCAGGTATGGTAAACCAACATTTATTCCCGTGCAAATTTCTTGACTTAGTTTAACTTGTGAATATTAATTGCCTCACATCATTTATTCTGTTTCATATTCATAAGAGAATATATTTCTTCATTCGCGAAAATTAATCATTGCATATTGGTTTCAAACTGACAAACTGTGAACAAAAGATGACATGAATAATAGTTGGTTTACAGTATGTATACATAACTGAGTTTTTTCAACTCTTTATAATTGCAAAACTTTAAAGAATCTGCAAAATTTACAAAGATAGTTCTTTTTTTCAGGTTATCATTACAATGTAGCTTTTACAGCTGGAATTATATGTTGTGGACAAAACACTACATTTCCACCTGGAACAAAGGTTATATTCCCGGAAATCATATTCCAGGTGGGAGGCGGATACAACCCCAGAACAGGCGTTTTCACTGCTCCAAAGGCCGGCCTCTACCTTATTTTCTCTACCATAGTAGCAGACAATTGTCAACAATTTAGGACCAAAATCATGATCAATGGTGCACTAAAAGCTAAAGTAATGGCCTGGTTTAATTATACGACTAAACTGCAGGTCTACCAGTCAGCCTCTAACCTTGTGGCCTACTGGTTAAAGGCAGGGGATCAGGTCTGGACAGAAGCGGACTATGGGAGTAACGTGTTTGCTTACGCTCTAGAGAATACCTTTTCTGTAGTCATGATCAGTGGATCAACATAGATATGCTGTATTCTTATATACTCATTAAATACTTGCTTTATTCAATATTCTGTTATTTCTTGAAATCTTAACTTGTTTGGGTAAAGTCTGGCGATCACATGAGAGTGCCTAGTGGGCCACATTTTGGTCACTTTTGGTCAAGCAGAGCTGGTGCTAAAGGGAAAACTTTTGCCCCTGCTTTATTTTTGCCTATTTTCAATATGGTAAATTTCAAATGGTGTAAATTCAAAGAACAGAGAACAATTTCTCAAAAAGAACCATAAACAGACAAATATAAAATGCACAAAATTGTTTGTAAGTGTAACAGTGTGAAAATAACATGGGGCCAAAATAACCCTGTTTACAGTACTGTGAAATCACTAATTTTCATGGGGGTTTAATTTTCAATGTTTTCGAGGTATGAAAAGACCCACGAATTCAAGCCCACCTCTAAACGTAAATTTTCATATGAACAACTACAAAAAAATTCTTTATCCACGAAAATCAAATCCCCACATACTAGCACTCTTTCCTCAAACCACGAAAATTTGACACCACGAAAATACATGATTTTACAGTATTTAAAACAACTGCATGTTAATACAGGGAAAAATAAATGCACACAGACTTCAAATGTCTTGAATGTCAAAAATCAAGATAAACAACATTTATGATCTGTCAGATAGACACTGTTCTTTTCAAATATAGGACATGACGCAGTTTATAAGAAAATTTTTGAGACAATTCAAATGTTTGCACACATAGCTATTAGTAAATTTAGACAAGTACAACTACATATATGGAAAGCCCTTTGTAAATCAAATGCTAGAAATAGCCAATCTTTATTCAATTTTTATCTACACCAAGTTTTTGCTATTATCCTCTTAACCTAAATATACAAATTCTAATTGCTTAGGTTTTACTGTCCTAGTGTTGATAAAACAATCTGATAACGTCATGTATCTTTATCTAATGAAATGAATGATAAAAACCAAGTTTAAAAGCTTGTGTTAACACAAGTCCTAAGAATGGCCTGAATTAATTGTGCCCTGTTTTTGCTGTATGGATTTCTGCATACTAATGCTTTGTTACTCCATGGATCACAAACCAATGCCACACCATCCACCTCTAGTGGACAACTGGACTCTAATGACCATCAACGACTTCTTCATCTGGAAACCGTTCTAGATTTGGTGATAAAAGAGTTAAACTCTGTGAATCGAGAAAATCAACTTCTTCAACTAAAACAGACAACCTTGGAGAGAGAAGTTCAGGTGATAAAGCAATGGAACCAAACTCTGGAGATAAAGTTAGAAGCTGCTGAGACAAAGATAACATACTTAGAGGATTCCCTGAAGGCAGTAATTAGTGAAAACAAACTGTTAAAAGACAGAGTGGAGATTTTAAATTCTTCATCCACTTCAACACAACTCCAGGACGGCTTTAAAGAACAGCTGGATAGTCTGAATTTGACATCTACTTCACTACAGCAAGAAAACATTTATTTGAAAAAAGAGGTCAACATTTTAAACTCCTCTTTCATGGAATTAAAACAAAATATCTCTACTACAGAGGATGCAAGAAGATTGGAGAATATACAGTTGGACATTCTGAACTCTTCATCCATTTTTCTTCTACAACAAAACATCAATTTACAGAAACAGGTAAACATTTTAAACACTTCTCTTACACTAATGCAACAAAATATGACTACTTCTGAGGACATGAGAAGATTGGAAAACATCTTAAAATTTGAAGTAAAGCAGACAGTCAGTGACAGAGAACAGGAGATGATGAAGAATATATCCGCCATGGTTACAGACCTGGAACTCCGAGACCGATATTTATCACTTTCTCTGTTGGATGTACACAGCAACATGACCATGTTTAACCACACACTTTCTAAGCTCAAGCAGCAACAGAAGACAGACAAAGAGCAACAGAATATGACAATAGAGCAGTTAACACACTCGCTTCAGAACAACACTGTCAAACTGAGCAACATTCTTTCCAGTCTTCAAACAAGTATGTTAAGGACCATTCTCTGTAATGACTTAAAATTTGTATATAGGAGCAGTAGCACGCATAGTCTCAGAATTTCTCCAAACTCTCTATGAGAAAAGTATTTGATAACCTCAACTAATTTGGGCAAAAATTGGTTACTATATGTTATAGTTACCATGGCAACATTTTTAAACTTTGAAAAATGGCATTTTTTAACACATGTTTAGAGTCCCATAGTTAACATTTGCAGCAAAGCAATCAATTGGCAATGACTGGTTCCTAAAGCTTGACGCCTGATGTTTTAAATCCATGACATATTTGGTAAATCAACTATACGTTACTATAGTAACAAAGAATTCCAAATTTTAAGAAATTATTCATTGAATTTAATAAAGTAATACATGTAAAAATAAAAGGCAATAATAGGATGAAATGTGACCAAATAAATTAGAAAAGAGCGTTGAAACATATACAAGAACAAATTCTGATATTTCAGTTTGGTTGGCAATGGTTACCAAGGTTTTTATACCACAGAAACCCTTAAAATTAACACTTTGTATGTTTAAATCTGACCCTATCTTTTATAAAAGCACATTTACTTATAACTGAAGATCAATTTTTAAAGGTGTTGATTTGGTCCTAATTTTCCCATTGAAAAAAATTCAATTTAGATTCTTAAAATAGATCATTGCTATGGAAACAAGCAGAAAAAATATGCTTAAAAATCTGAAAAATATTTTGTTTCCTTGGAAATGTACCTGAAAATGTAGAGTCCCAAAACTTTTATGATTGATATTTATTAATGGCTAACCTGACTTTTAATTTTGACTATCATCCAATCTCTAACTGGATGCAAAAAGCTGGATTTAAATTGATTTAAAACTTTCAAAATTGAACGTTTTCCCTTCTTTGTTACCATAGCAACAGTGTTGTTTTATTCACAAAATTTTATCAATATATAATATTCAACTTTAGTTCTACCAGATAAGAACCATTCAAGGTGGGTCTTATAATATGTTTCTTGATTTAATTGCAAGTAAATTGTAAATTAATGCAGAAAAGAAAATTCACTTTTAACAACCTGGTACGTAATGTTTCTTTGATAACACTGCAAAGTAGCAATTAATCCCAATTTTTCTTATGGTGTTGTGTTGAAAGGTCCTAAGGATATTTGCCAATCTTGAATTTTCATGTTTTTCCTCAAGGCATTAGCATTAACCCAATTTTAGTTACTGATTTTGCTTGGTTACTCTGTGTTACCATGGCAACCATAAACTTTATATATACAATAATATTGCTTATACTTAAGGTCAAACATTTTCATTGTTTTTGTTTAATAAGTTGTTGATTGAGTTTGAGCATGTAACATCTACCATTAGTGAATATATACTATGAGTTTTTCTGCATAATTCAGCATTTTAAATGTATTTCAAATGTACCCTTGGTTACCACTTACTTCAAGATATATTCCAAACAGTTTCTTTACAGTATAAGTGACAACAAGGTGTCAAGTTTTTGTGAAAATGGTTTGTTTGCTTTTCCTTGTTTTTATCAAGGCTAAGTAAACATTTGAATTACATGAAGAAGCTGGAAATCTCAATTTTCAAACTTTTAAAAGCTGTTACCATGGCAACCAAGTCATATAACAAAAAATTTTATTTGATATATGATTCTGGTGTCAAGTAATAAGAATTGGTGAAGTTTAATCAAACTTTGTGACCATGCATGGCAACGAAGTTTAAGTGGTTACAGAGAATGGCTCTTCAAAACTTGATATTACCGGTATATTTTTATAAAAAGCCTTTATTTTTTATAGATATCAAAAAATTAAAATAAGTGATGTATTTTTTTTCAGGAGTTGCTTTCACTGCTGGAGTACATTATGATGATAAACATAACTTTGCACCTTCAGAGACAATTATATTCCCACGAGTCATGTATGAGGTGGGAGGGGGATATAACCCCAGGACAGGGGTATTTACGGCCCCCAAGGCTGGACTCTACCTCATATTCAGTACAGTTGTGGGAAAGGACCATGAAATAATTAGAACACAAATCAGGATCAATGGTTCACTGAAGGCTTCAATCATGGCTTATGTTACTTCATCTACTGCGCCTGTCTACCAATCAGCCTCTAACCTTGTGGTTCAACAGTTACAAGTGGGAGATAGAGTTTGGATACGAGTCTATCAGGGAACTAATTTTTACTCTGATTATGAAGAGACAACCTTTTCTGTAGCCATGATTAATGAATCACTAATCTGAATGTACAATATGACTTAAATTGCTCGGAAATGATTGCTAACTCAAAAAAAAAAAATTTACAAATGTACAAAAAACGTTTTTATTGATTGAGAATAAATAAACAATGACATCAAACTTCTTTTTTATAATGAACCATGACTTTGAAATTCTAATACTTAATAAAAGGCATTCTCACCCTCCAACAAATATACATGACTCACAGTATATTGTTTAATAATACCACACATCTTTCAAAGAAATTCCCTGGATTTGGGTGCTCTATCATAATTTGGGCTTACAATCCAATGAGTGCACAACTCCAGGTTTTAATTGAACCTCATAATGTAAGTACAACTTAGGGTAAATTCAGAAAACAGAGAACAAATTCTTAAACAGAACAATATAAAATGTTCAAAATTGTTTGTAAATGTAAAAGTGTGTAAATACCATGGGGCCAAAATAACCCTGTTTACAGTATTTTAAACAAACGAATTTACAGGGGAAAAAAATTAAATAAATGCACACAGATTTCAAATGACTTGATGCTTAATATCAAATGTTTGTGAAAATAACAATGGCAAATTTCAAGAAATATAAACAATATTGGTATTTGCAAATCTTTAGCTTCTTGCCTTAAAAAAATTTCAAGAAATTGTAGATTTTATAAGCACTCAGTGCTCAGAGTGTGTGCAATGGAATCATTATTTCATTAATGAATAATTCCAATCTTAATTTTATTTATCGATTCCTTGTGTTTTGATTGGACAAGAACAAATTCAAGAAAAAGTTTACACATCGATGAATTTTTCAACCAGAACTACTTTCTTGACTGTTGTTAAAACAATGAAAACAGATACTTCTAGTCCATTTTAGCTTAATTATGATTACAAGAAACTTATGAAAAATGAATTAATGAATGAAAAGGAGATAAACAGGACTGACAGACGGGAATATTATGTTTATGTCATTGTTGGATCATGAGTGTGAAATATTTTGAAATCGCTGATCATGCTGTCATTTTCTCGACGTTCCATATCAACTCAGTTGGTATCGTAATGTGATAGGGAAAAGAAACGTACTTCAGACTCTTGCCTTTTCAGCATCAAATCATATATTTACATCCTACAGATCCCATATTATCCCTAAATCTTTGAACGAACCAGAGCAAATCGAGGACGTCGTCGGTCTTCAACTTTCATCATGACGTCAACATGGCGAAGTCAAGGACGAATTATTTTGGAGAATTAATTTGTGTATTTACGATATTTGTTGACTTAAACAACATTCAATGAGTTTTTATAAGTTTAATTTATAGATTGTTTTGACAAATAAAGTTGGATTTTATCAATATTCATCTTGTATACGTTTCTTTGCGGCATAAAGTATTCCTACGCCGTACAAAATAACGGATTGTATGGCGGCCTCAAAAGAAATAATCTTAACAATTAAAAAAAATTCGTAATATTGGAATTATAAGAATTAAACGTTCTTCAGAATTTATTGATGTGTACTCTCCATCACAAACTTTACATACCGGGTAAAAGTGCTTCGCACTTTTATTCAGTTTGTGAGTAAAAAGGCAGAGTTTAAACATCGATAAATTCTGAAAAAAGAAAGTTTAATCCTATAATAACTGATATAAGATAAAGTTATTATTAAGACATGTTCAATTGTATATATGCTGCAAATTTGCCCAATATAAATCATATGCTAGAAAAATAAAGCACACTTTTTTTTAATTTTTCATTTTTTATCTACCTATATTTTTTCCTATTATCATCTATAAATTCTTTTGGTTTAATTTTCAGTGTCGTAATGGTGTTGATAACAAATTATGATAACAACAGATATCTCTTTATCAGACAGAATGAATGATAAATACATAACATTGTAGAAGCTCATATAATAATGTGTTAACACACATCCTAATAATTATGACCTGGATTAATTGTGCCCTGTTTTTGCTGTATGGATTTCTGTATGCTAATGCTTTGTTATTCCATGGATCACAAACCAATGCCACACCGTCCATCTCTAGTGGACAGCCGGACTCTAGTGACCATCAAAGACTTCTTCATCTGGAAACCATTCTGGATTTGGTGATAAAAGAGTTAAACTCAGTGAATCAAGAAAATCAACTCCTTCAACTTAAGCAGACAACCTTAGAGAGAGAAGTTCAGGCGATAAAGCAATGGAACCAAACTTTAGAGACAAAGCTACAAGCTGCTGAGACAAAGATGACGTTCTTAGAGGATTCCCTGATGGCAGTAATTAGTGAAAATAAAGTGTTAAAAGACAGAGTGGACACTTAAAACTCTTCTTCCAATTTATCACAATTCCATGACAGCTTTAAAAAACATCTGGATAGTCTGAATTTGACATCTACTTTTTTACAGCAAGAAAACATTATTTTGAAAAAAGAGGTCAACATTTTAAACTCCTCTTTTACACAGTTACAACTGTATATGTCTACTGGGGAAGATATGAAAAGATTAGAGAACATCTTAGCCTTTGAAATTGAGCAGGCAGTCAGAGACAGTGAAGAAAAAATGATTAAGAACATGTCTGCCACAGTCACAGACCTGGAACTCCGGGACCGATATTTATCACTTTCTCTGTTGGATGTACACAGCAACATGACCATGTTTAACCACACACTTTCTCAGCTAAAGAAACAGCAGGAAAGGCAAGAAGAGCAACAGAATATGACAATACATCATTTAACACATTCGCTGCAGAAAAATACAGCAAAATTAAGCAACATTCTTTCCCATCTTCATACACGTAAGAAAACACTTTCTTTTTAAAAGATGCACAAAGCACACAGGAATACTGGGGGATTACGAGTGGCAAATACATCAAATCATCATTTCTGTTTCAAAATACACCATCTTGCTAGAAAAAGATAACATATGACAGTATTATGACATTTGGGTGTCTTGTCTTAATGGTTTAAAGATAATTTCTCTTTGACAACATTTACACGACATATATATTGTTTTTATATATATCTTTTTTAATTTCAAATGTGTCCTCTTTTATATGTTCAAAAATTGTATTCATCTGTGCTGTATTTATCTTCCAGGAGTTGCTTTCACAGCTGGGGTGGGGTACTTTGATAAGCTGTCCTTTGCACCCTCAGAGACAATCATATTCAAGCAAATCATATACCAGGTGGGAGGGGGATACAACCCCATGACTGGGGTTTTTACTGCCCCAAAGGCTGGACTGTACCTCATTTTTAGTACTGCAGTGTCTCAACGATTTAACAGAATCAGAACACAATTTGTGATCAATGGTTCTGTTAAGACAGGAGCAATGGCGCAGATGGACAACACTGACTTTGAACATTACCTGTCAACCTCCAATCTTGTGGTCCACCCCTTACAGGTGGGGGACAGGGTCTGGATACAGATGTATCAGGGGAAACTTATTTACGCTGGTTATGGAGAAACATCATTCTCTGTCATCATGATTAATGGATCACAATAATCTGAGTGCACTGTATGACTTATTAAATCTCAGACATGCCTGCTATGTTAAATACAGTTTTACAAATTTAATAAAAAATATATTTAGGTGAAAACAAATGGGGATTAACTTAATTGTCTGTTAATAAAGCAGAATGACACTTATAATCTTCAATAAGGATGTAATCTGCATCTTAACCAAACTTCCTGAAGATTGCTTTCACTAGAACCATGTTCCAAGGATTTGAAGTGCACATCACATTTTGCACATACAATCCACAGAATTATTTTTAAGATTTTCTATTAACACTGGAGGATTTAGAGGGTGTGGGTCGGGGTGGGGTTTAAGTGTGACAAAGAGAGATATGATATTGGGTGTTTCAGAGACTTATCTCCATCACATCTCACTTGACTTTTCTATGAACCAATACATTTGATAAGCAGTAAGTATTTTTTAATCTCCAAAGTTCAAACTGCAATCTGCTATAATATTGAAAACACCTACAGATTCACTAAACTGTTGACCTTGACCTTTCTATAAATGACTGACCTGTGACATCCTTGGTGAGGACCCTGGAGACCACAGAGAAGTGTTTGCTGCTGATACAGGCAAGGCTGGTGGCCTGGGGGAGGATCACAGAGACGTGGTTACACAGGAGCAGAATGTACTTCCTCAGCAGCGACCCCGCCCCTAGGAACTGCAACTCTGTAATGATAAACATTCACAAACAAAGTTCTTTTACTTCAAGGCTTCTTGAATTTACTATAGAGTTCATAATTTAACTTAGTTTAAAAATCATGTCTGTGACTTTTAAAGGAATCCATTAGTTTAAGAAGTATGTCTGTGACTTTAAAAGGAATCTTTTTCATTCATTCAAAGAAATTCAGAATTATCTTCTTCAACAATATAAAAACATAGAAAGTATAAATACATCAACAATTATTTTTAGATAACTTCTCTGTGAACTCAGTACATTTATGTCAAGTCTTTTAATTTTAAATCTTTCAAACAAGTTGGGGGAAAAAATTCACTTAATCCAGTGTTAGAATACATCACCCAGACAGTTATGTTTAAAGTGGGTCTGGTAATCTTTCTTTCCCATTAACTCTTTACTGTTTGGCTGCTTTGTGGCAACGCACTTTGAAGAAATTATGCACTTTGAAAAATTTTTTCAAAGTGCGTTAAAATTGGGACAAAATCAACGCACTTTGAAAAAAATTTTCAAAGTGCGTTAAATTTTGGACACACTCAATGCACTTTGAAATTTTTTTTCAGAGTGCGTTAAGAGTGTACATAAACATTTTGTACCATGGGGACATGTAACGCACTTTAAAAAAAATATGTATAAAACAAAAAAATTCTAGACTTAGATTTTAGAAACAATTTGTAATAATTATTTCTTTTTGAAAAACTTTTTTAATTTACATGCACTCATTTAACCTCATTGAAAACAAGGAGAAGACGAGTAGAAGGTCTCTAACCCCAACTCGTTTTCCCATAAATTGAACATAGCCGTCGGTAGCAAATTAAAAGTGGACACCCCTCTCCCGTAGATAGGCCACAATTTTCAATGCCTATTTCAGAGCTGCCAACATTCTGAAATGACAAATAGTAAGGCAGGGTCTAGGGACCACGCTAGGCCCCCTGCCCCTGAAGATGTTTTGTAACTTGACATGCAATATGATGCATGTTTCCATTTTGTTAACTTTAAAACATTGTCATGAATGTGATCGACCTTCTAAAACCAAAACGATGATACAAGAAAGCATTGAAAGAATTATAAATACATAATAATTGTAGAAACTATAGACTGCCAGCTATGAAAATAACAGAATTATAAGCTTTGAACGAGAAAAAACTGAAATCGGAAAAATATACAGAGAAATCGTAAGGCGTATTTTAGACGCTGATTTCGTACGCCTTACGCCAAAATCGTAAGGGTTGGCAGCTCTGCTATTTTATGTATTTCTCTGCCTAAGCCCTCCCCCCCCACCCCCGGTACTGATATCTATGCTACACCCAAAAAAACTATTATGACATCGAAAACATTTAATTCATTTTACTTACATATCATGCAAACAAATTAGATAAAATATGTATACAGTAAAACATTTAAGAGAGAGAGAATTTTCAAAGTATGGAAAAATCAAAATTGCTCATTTTCACATTCTTGAAATGACCTCATCACCGAAGAGTTATCAATCAGGTTCAATTAATTATTTATCATACCTTGGATTTGTAAGAATATATAGACCAGGCCATATACATTTTTTCAAAGTGCGTTAATATGGTTGATATTAACGCACTTTGAAAAGAAATTTTATTTTTTCAAAGTGCGTTGATTTGGTCCCAAATTTAACGCACTTTGAAATTTTTTTTCAAAGTGCGTAATTTTTCAAAGTGCATTGTAACATTGCTTCCTCACCTTTTTCTGTCCCAGTGGTTAGTAATGGCCCCTCCCCGTCCAGGGGGAATATTCGGGAGACCAGTAGCCTCTGGACTTGGAGGAGGAGGTCCAGGGAGGGGGAGGTCTCACAGAGGTCCCATTCCTCCGTCTTCAGGAAGTGGTCCTTAGAAATGTCCTCCAGGTGGGACAGAGAATAGGAGGCAGAATTCCTGTATCAGAAGTAGACAGGTTTATTACAGTGTCTCTTTGATTAATACATATCTTTGTAGCAGATGATTTGAGATGCCTTCTGATTAGCACATGTTGTAGGAAAAGATGATATTTATGATATATATTTTTTTTACTGTATTTTTCAAAACATATTCAGACACATGATATCTTCCAATAAAAATATTTAGATTGCCCAGGTTTTAATTATGCATTAATAGTAACCATTTAAAGGTTCAAAGACATGTAAACATCCAATGATACACGACTAAGTTTCAATAAAAATCATTTCACTGCATAAGTTCCCTTTGACTCTTCATAGTAAAAATTTTATTACAAAGATTTCCTGATCTATTCACATTCACATGAGAGTATACCTTAATAGCTGTTGAATCAACTGGAGGAGAGGAATGGTTGCCCCGTTTTCATCACTTTCCCTGGGGTAGGAATCAAGTGGCTCTGCCTCAATGTCTCCTGATTTCTCACAGGTCAGCAACTCATGTGTTTCTTCCCTTTCCTAGCAAAAAAAAAATAGAATTAACAAGGGTGTTTGCAAGCAGGTAAAATAGGCACTTGGTCATACATCATATCATAAAATTGAAGTGTTATTTTCATATCAGTATTTTGAAATCAGTATTATTAAACTATATCCCAAGTCATCCAGTGCTGTAAATTCCTTATTTTATGTGGTTACTTAATATCCTGAAAGAACTCTTAGATGTCTAATCCCAAGTACGATAGTTTACAAGACTAGTGGATCAAGAGATTTTACAGAGATTTCAGCCCATGAAAATAAAAGTTATTTATTTTGCTACTGGTGCTTCTCATGAAATTACATGAGAATTAATTAATTTTTTGTGTAGTTTTCAAGGAATCTACAGTACTCAGAACATGTGCTTACACTTACCAGTACTTATAAGCTGCAGTAAAGGACTCACCTTTTTGCCTTCAATCTCTGTGATCTCGTTTTTAATGGCCGCCTCCAGAGCAGACTCAAGGCCCCCGTCAGCCATCAGACTGCTGACCAGCAGGTCGGTCATAAATCTCTGTCCGGGGCTCATAATACTGGCATCATGGCTGACCACTTACAAAATAAAAACTCAAGTTAATGAATAAAATTCATATCAGTCATAAATCTCTGTCCCAGACTCATAATACTTGCATCATGACTCACCACTGACAAAACAAGCATTCTGAGAGTATTGCATAAGCAATATATGTCCCCTACCAGGTTCCCCTTTTCCTTGAGGTTGTCATTTTATAATATGCAAAAGTTATGTCCAAGGTAAAACTGCATGATTTTTAGGTTGTGAATGCCTTAAACCTAATAAAATAATCCACATTAATACGAAAATTCAACTCATTTTCCAACGTCTTCTTCTCGCTTCATATTTATGTCGACCATTGGAAGTTAGCGCAGCACGAACCCGATCTTAATTAAACGAAAATGAAAACTTCAAAATGCCATAATTCTGTCAAAAATTAATGAAGCGGTGCGAAATTCAAACTTGATCTGTAACTCATCAAGATCCATTCACATACCAAAATTCAGTTCAATATCTGCAAGCGTTTAGAAAAAAAGTGCGGAAAACCAAGTGGGACAAACTGACAGACAGACGGGGACAGACAGACAGACAGACGGACAGACGCAGAGGAAACCTATAGTCCCCTCCGGTTTCACCGGTAGGGGACTAATAACAACTCAACTATTTCAATAATACCATTTACCATTGTACCTTGAAATACATGTGTAATCCAATAATTGCATCCCTTATATTCATGTAGGTTATTCTATTATCTAAAGTACACAGTGTTCTGAATATATGGTTTTTTTTTTCAGAACAGATTTTGTTTTTCAAACTTGAAATACAAGAATTTTGTGTATAAACGTACATGTGTATTCATATGTGCAAGGACAGATGTTAATCCAAATTATCATTAAATTCATGAACCAAAGAAAATCTTATTCTCAAATACATGTTAATCAAAACCTTACCTTCAGTAGACAAGAGAGTTGACAATGTTCTTGCCCGCTCCTCTGCCGTGGGCAGCAGGATGGACCAGCCGCTCTGAAGGGCATTCTGGGCCGCTAACTGGACGGTATTAATGACGCCCAGGTTACTGGCAAGGGAGACCACTCTCTGCTTCAGACTGGTCACCAGGGGACTCCCTGGACCCAGACCCAGGAGATCTGTGCTCTCAGACTGACATATGGTGGCATAAAACTGAAATGGTGGTGCAAAGACTTAACAAAACAATTCAGAGGGAATTTATCATTCACAATTTGTTTTGTCTTACAAAGCATAAAAAAGACGAAATCACATTAAACAAGTTTTAAGAATTGCAAGGGGGTATTTCATGTAATGCATCGAACAATATACCAAATCTTATTTCTTACTATAAATTCTAAGCATATGTTAGCAAGTTTAAGACTTGCAACACTTAAAACACAATATTTGTTATTCCTGATGTTCATCTCAGCCACACTAAATTCAAAACTATTTACCCTCCCCACCCCCCGACCACCAGCCCACCATTTTTGAATAGTGATCCCAAACCTCCCATAGAATATTTTACCTGAAGATTAAGGAGGTTTAGCCCTGCTACAGCCAGACACTCTTTGTCCTGTGGGGGTGGCCAGTCAGACTGTCCATCCATTCCCACACAGACCTCAGCCAGCAGTTCATCCAGCTGTTCAAACGTACTCTTACACACGTCCACAATAAACGGTACCCTACTACCCACAATCCATTGTCCTCCACTGGTCCAGGCAAATGTCTGAAAAATATAAACACAGCTTTCTCATACTTGTCCAGGCCAATTTTGATGCCATATGTACAGGAGGAAGGAAAGTGGGTGAAAAGTACTTAAAAGCTAAATTAGGCTAAGTTCCATGACTTGCACTGCTATAGGAAAAATGTTACATAGCTGATTAGATGAAAATATAATCCATAGCTTGCCAATCATAGCTACAATATGCTTTCACATCAATCAAAAAAATGTGAAATCAAAAATCTATTTTGAATTAACAAATAAATAACATAGTATTTTTACTTTATACATGTACATGTATGTAGCTTTGCCACAATCTTTCTCACCTGATTTGGGCCACAGGCCACTCCTATGATGTTCTTCCCCTCCATCCCAGAAATGAGGGTGGGCTCGGTGAAGTTACTGATGGAGGGGTTCCCTAACTGTCCCTGTTCATTACGGCCCCACCCATACAGCTCCCCGTCCTCGGTGACAGCCATACAATGGAGGGATCCAATGGCAATGTCCTTGACCTTTTTAGCAGAGAGAGCCTCTATCTGTTTGGGATGCCTCACGTGATCCTCTGTTCCGTGTCCAAGTCTAAAGTTATCGCCTTTACCCCTACAGTTCAATTTTAAGACAATGTCATGTTCTAATTTTGTTAACATTTATCATTTTAAGCCAAAACCCTGACAAATGTGACCAATAAAATTTATTCATATTATTCCATCTAGTGTAAGAAGATGTGACCTTTCAAAATAGTAAGGTTTTTCAACCATATTGCCAAGTAAAGTTTAAAGGAAAGTTTAAGTTACAATAAATTTAATGATACAAAAAACTAATGTCCTGTAAGAGAGCTATAGTCACTTATGCACTTTTTAAGTACATACACACACAGACAAACAAGCAAAGAAGAAAGCTTCTTGAACACCGATTGATGGTTGGACTCACCAGGAATACACAGCCCCCGACTTGGTCAGGGCCAGACTACACTGGGTGCCACAATAAACCCTGACCACGTCCTGTCCCATCAGCTTCTCGATGACCTTGGGGGTCTTACAGCCATCGTTTCCCCCTCTGCCCAGCTTACCATAGTCACCATCTCCCCAAGAATAAACAGCACCTTTACATAAAATTCAAAAAATAGATAATAATATCCTTCATTTTTAAAATAAAATAAATATTGAATAGATTTCATTTATAAACTAAAAGAAATAATCAGGTCACCAATAAATTGTGAAAATGTGCAAGTAATTCTTATTTATCATGTTTACATATACATGTCCTGGTAATTATAATATGAATAATATATGGAGATGACAAACGGTAATCAAGCTCAAAAAGTCTATTGAAACAATAAAAATTGGGAACAGAGCAAACATGGAATATCTATAATTTTTGTTTGTCAAAATCAGTCTCAGGCAATGGGAGTGATTTCTTGGTGCACAAGATGAGTGAAGAACTGAAGATCGACTTAAAAAAAGAAACCTGAGTCAGTGACTGCCAGAGTCTGGGCATCTCCACTTCCACAAGCTATATCGAGGATGCGATGGCCCTTGAAGAATTTGAGGAGAATGGGTGTGGTTTGATCCTCACTGCTACCATGCCCCAGACGACCAAAATTTCCCTTCCCCCAAGAGTACACCTCTCCATTAGCTGTCATGGCAACACTGTATGAGCTTCCACAGCAGATTTTGGTCACCTGTTTTCCTGAGAGGGTTGTTATAAGTGCAGGCTCCTCACGATGTCTGAAGAAAAATAATAATTCTTCATACATTTAAATTCAATATTAAATAAATAATTTTTTGAAACTAAAAATAATGCATTTTCTTATTTTTTGTTCAGTCATGACAATCCATAGCCTTGATTCTACAGCTGACCTTCAACTTAATTTTGAATTGTATGTCATATTTGAGTTAGATCTAGTTTATTTTTATTTTTCATTGAGCTGAGCCAACAAAGTAGAGAAAGCAGTAATTCTGACATGTAAACAAAAAAAAATTCTAGCAGGACGACCATGAACTCTGACTTTGAAATCACATGTACATTACTATAAGAATAACCTTTCTCTATTGATTCTTTTACATGTACATTTATACTTACATGTAGTCCCCATGACCCAGTTTCCCTCCGTCTCCATTGCCCCACGAGAACACCTCCCCATCACTAGTCAGTCCCATGTAGTGTTTCCCGTCAGGGTGAGCTGCTATCTTGATGACTTCTCTGTCTCCAAAACCATTCAACTGCTGCAGGGTCTGAAAAGAACAATATAATGCAGTCTGAACCTACCTTTACGATCAAGTGCATGTACAATTACAATGGTGCTCACTGACTTCAGTATTTTTTACTTGTCCCCATGATTTGTAAAATCCATTGCCTTATATGGACAGCTACAGATTCAATTGAAGTTCTACATGTAGCTAGGACTAAAACTATACACAAGTAAAATAAGTTGTCTGACTCTTTCAGCTCTGCAAAGCTCTACAGATACTTTAAATTTATTCTGGGTTTTTTTTTTTATGAATTTGAAGATTTTCTGACTAACATACTGGAGACAGGCTTGTGTAGTACAGCATGTAGACTTTTCCAGCCTTTGACAAGATCAGACAGCACCTCTCAGAACAAGCTATCTGTTGTACACCTCCAATGTCAGCGAAGAAGTCCATCAGAAACGGCCCTATAGCCCCGCCCTCTGCTGCCCAGGCCAGCCAGCCTAGTCCAAGAACTTCCTGTGAACTGCCTTGTTTCATAGCCTGAAAAAAATGTAGAAGTTCTTATATCACAGAAGTCAATTATCAATAGCCACATTTTTTTTCAAATTAGTAACCATTACAGGTACTGTGAAATCATTCTAATTTGCGAGGGTCAATGTCTATAAAAAGGCAAAACTTTATTTGCTCATGGGGTTGTAATTTCAGATTACTCACTTTGTAGATTCAATGAATAAATATTTACAAAACAAATATTTGTGGGGATGTAAAATCATGGGTGAGGTTGACTAGCACAATCCTTGAACATTGTTTCCCCACGAACAAAGATGATTTCATGGCATCTGCCAAATTTTTTTTTCTAAATTTAACATAAACCTTCGATGATAATGTACAGGGGGTAGAGAGATTTTTTATCTTACCTTTTGAGCACTGAATGGGCTGAGATAGGGGCCCGTTAGTCGGTCCAGGTGGGACATGATGACCACGGCTGACATTCGGAGATCTATTAAGGTGTTGGGGTCCTCAGGGTAGGTCAGGTAATTCAGAAAAATCTCTGTAGGACTGGCTATCTGTACCTCAGACTGAAGAATCAAAATAATGTGTATGTCATAAAAATCTTCAGCAGCTTAAGCATTTATAAAAGTGAACATGTAGTAGCTGAATATATGAAGTTTAGGGAAAAAATTGAAGGATTGATAAATGCTTATAATATAGCTTGACTTGTACTTCAGAAAAAGTGGAGGGAGTTGGTTGGATTTTAAAATAGAACTGCAAGACTTAAAGATGTAAAATGTATTATTCAATTTCAAAAACAGCATTGAAATATAGTTAAAAAGCACTAAAAACAAAATTAAGTATAAAGCTACTAGCTAGTATACTTGTAAAGAAAATAACAGATGATAAAGGGAAACATCCCACCTCTTCTAGTTTCCTCTGTTCCCAATAGACCCTGGATTTGGAGCCTTTGATGGCTTGAAATCTCTCCAGGAGTCGTATTAGGGGAGCACAGTTCAATCCGCTGCTGATCCGGTTGTCGGATTCCTGACAGCTGTTGTTCCAGAGATTGAGCAGGAGCAGGACTGAGCTGAGAACGTGACTGAGCGAGCCCCTCTGCACGGACAGCTCGAGCAGAAGACACAGTGCTGTCTGCTGGTCCTGGACTGGTATCTTACCAGAGCTTGTTGACTGAATGGAGGTCCTGTGTCAAAAAAATGTAAAAATTTCAGACTCAGAAACCTTTAAGCTTATATAAATCATGATGCCTTAAGAACAGATGATATGGAAATGGATGCCTGGGATGCTATATGTTTTTGGACCTATTTTGGATGTAAAATGATGTAAATATCAAATTTCTAAATTAAACAGAAACAGTTAATCTGGCATTTTTTATAGGTCAAATTAGTTCTATTTTGAATGAAGAGATTACGATGCAGTTAATTTTTTACATTTTTCTTTCATAAACATGATTGAAGTATTTGTTGTTATTTTCATGGTTTGGGAAAAAGGTTTATTCATAGCATCTCAACTGCTCAGTCATTCCTAATGACTGTGACAACCTACCCCCTAACAACCCCCTGTAGAAAGCTAGAAGCTCGATCCACCACTTCTAACCAGACACTAGACACCCTGCTCTCTTCAAACAGTGTGGCTTCTGGTAGGGACTGTAGGGCTTCCAATGACTCATGTAACAGTTCACTGCACAAGTCAGAGTCTTCACCAGAACGCCAGGCTCTACGCAGGAAGGCAAAGGCAAAACTGAGAGCTGCTCTAGACCCCACCCTTGCCAATCCTACTGTTGCTTTCTCAGCTGGCTTCATGGAGCTTTGAAGAGTAAAAATTTGAGAACATATGTAAAGAAGAGAAGACTACGTTACTGAAATGAATTTCATCAATGTAATATTTACCAATCACAAGACTTATTAATATTAAAATGTGCAACATTTGATAAAAACTTCATTATCATCAACATGCATTTAAAGGAACGATATCAGTTTCATTTATTCTATTACCTTATTCAGTTACAAAAAGCACATATCTTGCTTGTATTTTTTCCAGAACTATCATGTTTTACCTCTCACAGAGGTAATAGTTTTAAAAGAGAACACTTCAGGCAATTGAATAACAATAACTTTATTTTTTTAAATAAAACACAATTGTAGAATTGTCTCCTCTTTTACCTTTTTTGTTTGTTAAGGTTAGTCTGATCAGCTTGACTTTTCTTGGAGGGCTGTCTCCCCTCGTTGGGCGACTGTCTCCCGAGGGCGATGAAGTAACGCTGGAGAATGGCCAACCTCTGCTGCAGTCGCGTAATGGAGGCCGAGGTGCAGGAGGCCTCGGTACACAGCTTCTGGTGCTCATACAGTATGGACCTCAAGCACTGCTTTAACTGACTAGAATCTGAATGGTAAACAAAATATTGCAATAAATGAACTTGTGTATTTACACAATTAAGATTTTATGCAACTTGACTTAAAATCCCTGAAATAAAAATTAATTGCCACTTCATGGAATTGAATCGAACAAGGATAAACCACTGTTTACAGCAGGGCCACAATAATTTTATGAACCAGCTATTCAATAAATTTCAACAGGAACTTAATTCATCTAGCTGTCTAAGAATTGGGCACCACAGTTGACTTGTGAGTTCCAGTTTTGAGTGGAAAGGGGACTTCTCATCTATCTGTTTAAGAAGCAGACTCCATGATGTATTTAGTGCAATTGAGTGGAAAAAGGGATACATTCTGTCCCAAATTCCATTACCTGGTTGTTCCCCCCAGGTCCAGGAGTTGATGATGGGCTGGGAGTGTTTGGGGTAAGATAGATCCTCCTTGTGCTGCTGGGCTTCCTCCTGGTCTAACTTCTGACAGGGGAGACAATTACAGCCATTATTGGGCCCGCAGTGTCCATCGCAGCAGCTGCAGGACAGGACCTTCATTCCACAGTAATACTTCCCAGTCTCCCCTGTAAATGAAATATTCCATAATGAACAGGTTTATAAAAACAAGAGGCCCATGGGCCACATCGTTCACCTGAGAAGCTTTGGCCATTCTGTTCTTTACCAGATTTCCCCCTTGTAATACATATTGTGACCCCACCCTTCTAACTTAACATAATTTAAACAATTTGAAATCTACACTACCCCAGTATGCTTCCAAATAAGTTTCAGCTTTGATTTTCAGATTTTTTCTATATATTTCTATGTAAAACATTGATTCCCCATTGTGGCCCCGCCCAAACCCTAGGAGTCATGATTTGAACAATTTAGAATCTACACTACCCCAGGATGCTTCCAAATAAGTTTCAGCTTCTCTGGCTCAGTGGTTCTTGAGAAGAAGATTTTCAAAGATTTTTCCTATATATTTCAATGTAAAACATTGATTCCCCATTGTGGCCCCGCCCTACCCCCGGGGGTCATGATTTGTACAATTTAGAATCTACACTACCCCAAGATGCTTCCACAAAAGTTTCAGCTTTTCTGGCCCAGCGGTTCTTGGGAAGAAGATTTTCAAAGATTTTTCCTATATATTTCTATGTAAAACATTGATTCCCCATTGTGGCCCCGCCCTACCCCCGGGGGTCATGATTTGAACAATTTAGAATTTACACTACCACAGGATGCTTCCACATAAGTTTCAGCTTTACTGGCCCTTTGGTTCTTGAGGAGAAGATTTTTTAATGACCCAACCCTATTTTTGTCTTTTCTTGATTATCTCCCCTTGCGAGGGGATATGTCCCTTCATTTTATAAATTTAAATTCCCCTTCACCCAAGGATACTTTGTACCAAGTTTGGTCAAAATTGGCCTAGTGGTTCTTGAGAAGAAGTCGAAAATGTGAGAAGTTTATAGACGGACAGACGGACAGACGGACGGACAGACAGACGGACGATGGACAAAATGTGATCAGAAAAGCTCACTTGAGCCTTCAACTCAGGTGAGCTAAAAATACTAGGTACAGTCAAACCTCATTACTGTATACAGGGTTATTTTTGCCCCGTGTTATTTTCGCCCTTTTGCACTTGCGAACTTTTTGCCCCGTTTTAAATTCGCCCAGTCATAGTTTTGTTTAAGAAATTATGCTGTGCAATTTGAATTCGCACCGTTTTAAATTCGCCCAATCAGGAAGAGGGCGAAAGGGGCGGAAATAAAACGGGGGCGAAAATTTCCCTGTATACAGTATCTCAAACTTTATGGGAACAAGAAAAAAATTTCAAGATGTCAGAGAATTCAAATATTGAGACAAAGGTTTCAGATATTGTTAACATCACATTTTACTATGTTCTTTGCACCATCAATATTACAGAGCATCATTATTTGCAGTAAAAGGATCAAAGGAATCTTGGAAACTCTGAAAGCAGTCCTTTTTTGCAAATAAACAAGAGAATTAAACTTAATGCTTTGAATTAATGTCAGAGTTACACCTTGATTTTTTCTTACCTTTTCTGGCCAGTACGCCTGCACTGTTGATGAGTCCATCGTTATGGCTGACCGAAATCTCACCCTCTTTGACCAGTTCATTCCACAATGCACTAAGCTCGTCTCGGTTAAAGACACCCTACAAGAATAACATCACTTTATCATGTGGCACAGACTCTGACTAAGCTAATGAAAACTATCAGTAAAAAATCACATAAAATCAACAGAGCTTTCAATATTATCGTAACAGACAAAAACTACATGCTGTCAAAAGACAGTACGGTACTACCCGCATGTAGGCGTTTGCCTCAAAATGTACTCTCCTTCGTACCTAGGTAACTAAAGAAAAAGTCAGAAAAATTATTTTTTTAATCGACATATTTATATACATGTAAAACAGAAAATGTTTGGGTAAGCATGTGGCCCACGGGCCTCTAATGCTAGTTTTTCATAAAACAAGAGGCCCAAGGGGCCTTAACAGTCACCTGAGTACAATTTAGAGGATCCAAAGACTGATCAATTAAAGCAATATAAATAGTATGATCAGATGATTAGGAACAACAAATAATTGATCTAGTATCTATCTGTCCCCCATTTATCGCAATTACCATAAAACTATTAACAAATAAATATCTATTTTTAAATCAACTTGGCCTTTGAATATCTCAACATGCTCAATATGGTGCCACCTTTTAAGAGGGCTGGGTGGTTGTGGCCATTTTCAGACTATATTGATCTCCTTTAGAAGAAGAGCTCCATATTAAGGTAAACAAAAATTATCCAATTTTAAAACTAAAATGTACAAAATACTTCTTTACCAAATGAAAGTTAACAGCTTAAGATATATCTAAAAAAAAAATATGTTACATCTGATGGTTAATTTGTTGAAACCCCAGCCTCCTTAAGTTTAAAATTCTTATCATCATCAAAGATTATTTTTAAAATTATATGATTTAAAAAAGAAAGTAACATACCTGTAGATTTGTTTTAGCCCATCTCTTGTCCAGTCTTTGCTGGGGCCTTAGTTTGGTGTCCACTGACCAACTCATTTCTATTTAATCATACTAAAAAAAACAAAATCAGTCTTTTATTTATCATGTACCAGTGTTTTATCAGAGGGTCTGTTATATCGCAGTGAAAAAGTAGGGCTGTGTATTGGGCCAAAAATTTCAATACGATACGATTTAATATTTTTTAAAGCGATATGCGATATATTGGATTCTAAAATAAGTCAATCAGAAAAGGCATCTAAATCAATTTTATGCATGAATTTCATAACAATTGAGTGTTTTATTACCCATTTTAAAGTTCTTGTGTCATTGTCATTACAAATAACACTTCAAAATAAAACTTTTAATGACAGTAAAAGTTTAATGACAGTACATGTCCAAATAAAAATCTCATTGTACTTTGTAATAATTATAAAAACTGTGTTATTTCCTTTCAAATTATATAATTATTGAACAGTTTTAATTCAAAAAAGTGAATTATAATCTTTGGTGATTAAAATTCCCATCTTTTTAACAGAATTAGAAGAAAAACTGTCTTTCCGATACGTATTGGAAGTTATTTTTCGATACGATATTATTCTTGAATATCGATACGTATCGATATATCGATATATTGATACAGCCCTATGAAAAAGTGAACCCGGGTTCAAAATATTATGGGATATACTGAACCCGGGTTCAATGTATCGTGGTATCAAAATATGCTACATCGGTGCTGCACTTTGTTCCCTTCAAGACCTGACACATCTTATGCAGGTAGAACAAAAACTATGATATTAAAGTTATTATATGTATGCTTTATATTTCAAAACTGTTAAGAGGACATGTACTTGGGTATCAGTTCACATCATTAAAACAATGAAAGTAATTGTCTATTAATCCCATGAAAATTAGAGACTTAATTCACATATTGTTGGAGCTAGTTCACTTTCTATTAATAGCTCTTTTTTCCATCCCATACCCATCCTACTACATGGATATCCTAATTCTCCTAAAAAGCTTTAAAATTATGGGGTTTTTTTTATCTAAAATAGAAGAACTTTACTCTATGGTCTCCAATAATAAATACCAGTAAATATTTGTCACATTTAAAAATGCTTGTCAGATTTACAACTTTCAAAAGAAAGGAAAAAGTTTGTTCAATGCAGATATATATATATAGAGCTAATTTCAAGCACCTCTTCAGTGATATCATAGTTTATCAATAGGTCAAAGAAAGTAAAATGCATGTAACAGGACATACCCCCCACCCCCACCCCACCCCCATTTGGTATGAAATGATAACAATAAAAAAAAGTCCTCAACTCTATGCCTTTAACTCTTTATTCAAATATTTACCTGCAGTTTGCGAAAAATTAAGAAATCTGCTGTATTTTACTATCCCATTGACCTGGATTAAAAGTAAATAGAACCATTATCAACATAACATCAATTGTCGATGAAAGAAAAATATACATGTACATGCATGCATTATTTTTAATGCAATTTCTAATAAAACTTGTATAATTACACTGAAATTCTTCACATATATCTTATCATCAAGATGGAATCTATATCAATGAAAAATTGCATAAAAGCATGGGAGAACAACTTAATATAATTATTAATATTTGTTTACAGTTAAATTGAAAATAAAACAGTTATAATTATATGATGTCCCAAGACAATGTACCACTTTGAAATTCATCAAATTAACTTTTGTCACAAGAGGATCTCGGGATTATGTGATATATACCATATATGATCAAATTACAAATCATTATTCCAATGGTATCTTTATTATTTTTCCTGCAGTTTTGCACAGTCTTTGTATATTTACCAGTGGGTCACATCTGTTGACAGTTCTGTACCACTTTTTAGAACGCATGGCCAGTGAAAGGAAAACCTAACAACTAGTCTAACCTGACCCTGTCCCTTTTTGATCTAAACATCTTTCAATCTATTGGGTACTAGATATGTTTCTTTACAAAAATGAACAAAACTCAGTGCATGCTGACAAATTTACAATCCCTAATCACTTTTTTGTACAAACACAAGAACATTTTGTGTGCCAGTGTGGATTATATAATTTGTAATAGATGCCGAGGAGACAGGATGTCATGAAAAATGGAAATTGACAATTATATCTATGTATGTTAGCCTCTTGAGCTGTTGGGAGAAAAGGGGGTCACGTAAATTGGGTTAACATAGTTAAGTAGGTAATGCATTTAATATTCATAAATGTAAGAAACGAATAATTTAAGGTCATCACTGTATAACCTATATCAGTGAAACATTAAAGAAAAACTTACCAATCCACTGAACAATAGTGAATTTCTAGAAAACAGTGGAAAAGACCTGCGTGTTGTGCGACATGCAGCACGGTTGTTTTACAATGGAAGTGACGAATGCAACATTAATGCCTGGAATCAATTTTTTCAGAAATATCCTCGAACATTTTTGCTTTCTGATTTGCTCTAAAAATACGTTACCTGCCTTGAGTTGTTAATAAATAGACGAATACAGAAGAACCAAAGTTGTCAAAAATTCTGGGTTTACTATTTCGAAAATATCGAGCCCGATCTCTTATATTCAGTAAATGCGTTTCATTATTTCCGAGTACTTACAGTGGCGTGCCAAAAGTGAAGATAATTTTATTTTTTCTCTATATATTTCATTGAAAACAACATTTTGTAAAATCATAGGTAAATGGTCAATTTTTGTCCAATTTAATTATTTATTTCAGTACTTAAACCAGAAAATGTGTAGTTATCTTTCTTTAAAAGATCATTACACGTTTAATATGTAGTAAAATATAGTTCATCACTAAACATCAGTTCTAAAATTCAAGATCAATGTTGACTATATAATTCATTGTGAGTATATGACTTAAAAATTCATGTCACACTTAAATTAGAATATTTTTAAATTATCAATGCTTATCAGATAAAATTTTAAACCATTGTTTTTTTAAAACTACAACAATTTCTTGGATTATCAAGAAATTTTTGATAAAATCTGTCAAGAAATGTTGTCATACCAGCGATTTTACAAAATATTGTTTTCAATGAAATATATAAAGAAAAAATAAAATTATCTTCACTTTTGGCACGCCACTGTACATTGTAATTAAACTCTACCAACATAACGAGAAACTTTCTAAACTTTTGGACAAAATATTCTTTTAAATTTGATTTTTTTTTACAACACTTAGCAGTGACGTAGCATCGTTATTTTTAAATTTTTTTTTAAAGTGGGGTCAGTCAGAGTTAAAAATTCAACTTACCTAATTAAAAGAATTATGATACCCCGCTTTCGGTGTCTTAGTGGATGATATGCCATTATTTTTAGCATATTGTATCAAACATGAACGTCCTATCATATGCAGAGATAATGTTATAAATAAAGTTATATTTTATGTCTCTGTCATATGTAATTCAAAAGCATTCACCTTGAAATTAGGTCAAAATAAAGGTCAAGACCAAAAGGTCAAAATTCATTGCATTCTCGGAAACATCACAGGTAGTGAAAATGTCAAATAAAAAAAATTATTACAATCAAGAGTAACTATTATAAGGAAAGAAACCATATTGAAAAGAAAGTCAATTAAGTTTCAAGGTCATGGGTTGAAAAAATCATGTTATATTTAGGAAGGCTTTGTCATAGATATAATAAACACGTATTATATGAAAGCCCTTTCTTTTTGTCTTTCAAAAGTTATGATCAATTTAAAGTAATGTTATATTTTCTGAAAAGTAGGTAAAACTTGAAGGTCAAGGTCACGGGATCAAAAAAGATAGTATGTTTAGAAAGGTCTTGTTACAGAAATGTACAATTGAAATATAAAAATTCAAATCTCCTCATTCTTTTTCGACTTGTTTATGAGTTAATATATTTAGAATACGCGGCAATCTCATGAATTCTTCTTGATAAGGAAGTGATGGAATGTAGATAAAGTTTATAAAAAGGCTTCGCAATAACAATGAAATAATAAATCAAAGCCATTGGATATTGCTTAAGGACAAATACTTATAAGAATAGATAGTGAGGACAGATGGAAAATGCATTTCAAGATCAAAAGAGAGTTTAACACTGATTGAGTTAAAATGTTTAGCTAACAATTAACGAATTAGGGCAGGTGAAGTACATTTAACTGTTTAATGGGCGTTAACCTTTAGCAATGGTCAATCTTGAGTAATAAAGATTGGCAGTGATTGGATAGAAAATACTGAAATAATCATAACTGGACATGACATGACAATCAAATTAAAGTAAAAAATGTTTTATAAAATATTACTTAGTTAGAAAGTTAATAAGTAAGAAAGAGAGTAAGATAAAAAAATATGTCCGTAAAAGCCATAACGTTTGCCTCATTGTCATAAGGTCCGTCTGTCTGTCCGTTCATCTAATTATCTACTATATCTAGCGAGTTTCCCCATTTACATATTGTACGGAGTGAAGAGTACTGAGTAGGTGATTAACAAGATTGTTGTTTTCAATAAATGTGAACAAGCAAATTCAAAGAATTGACGTTTTCGGTGTCTAAATGGGTGAGATGTCATTTTTATGGCATACTGTGTCAAAAATGAACGTCCTATCATATGTCATTGAGAAGTTATCATCGAAGTTGATTTTTTTTTTTAATTGGGTCAATCGTGAAGGTCAAGGGGTCAGAAATCATAGCATCCTCGGAAATGTCTTGTCACAGGTAATACACTTGTCAAATATGAAAGACCTATCTCTTCTCAATCAAAAGTTATAAAGAACCAGAAGTCTCTGTCGAGACTGAAGCTCTACTGGTTTGTACTTATAGCAAAGGAAGAGAAAAGTACTTAAGCAGTTAGGAATTGAAACTTTACAACAGCAATAAATAGAATAATGATCCTTGATAAAGTCTCTTTATGTTCTTAGTGTAGTCTACTTGTGTGCCAACTTATATTGAAATCAGACCAAAACTGTAGGAGGAGTAGCATTTTGAAACAATTTTACAGAAATTTCTATTTTTAGGAACCACGACAACACCGTTCAAGGAAATTAAAAAACCGATAAACCTAATTATGTATCTTAGTGCAGTCTACTTGTGTGCCAAGTTATATTGAAATCAGACCAAAACTGTAGGAGGAGTAGCATTTTGAAACCATTTTAATGAAATTTCTATTTTTAGTAACCACGACAACACCGTTCACGGAAATCAAAAACCAATAAACAGAATTATGTATCTTAGTGTAGTCTACTTGTGTGCCAAGTTATATTGAAATCAGTCCAAAACTGTAGGAGGAGCAGCATTTTGAAAGAATTTCACAGAATTTTCTATTTTTAGTAACCACTGCAACACCGTTTATCAAAATCCAAAACCAATACACAGAATTATGTATCTTAGTGTAGTCTACTTGTTTGCCAAGTTATATTGAAATCAGACCAAAACTGTAGGAGGAGTAGCATTTTGAAAGAAATTTCACAGAAATTTCACTTTTTAGTTACCACAGCAACACCGTTTATCGAAATCAAAAACCGATATTCAGAATTATGTATCTTAGTGTAGTCTACTTGTGTGCCAAGTTATATTGAAATCAGACCAAAACTGTAGGAGGAGTAGCATTTTGAAAGAATTTCACAGAAATTTCTATATTTAGTAACCACGGCAACACCGTTTATCGAAATCAAAAACCGATATACAGAATTATGTATCTAAGTGTAGTCTACTTGTGTGCCAAGTTATATTGAAATTAGACCAAAACTGTAGGAGGAGTAGCATTTTGAAAAATTGTTTACAGACAGACAGACAGACAGACGGACAGACGGACGGACGCCGGACGCATTACTATCGCATAAGCTCTTCTGGTCTCTGACCAGTAGAGCTAAAAATTTACAATTTTGAAATGTAGATCAAACTTTAAGGTCAAGGTCACAAGATCAAACATCATAATATATTTAGAAAGATCTTGTCACAGGCAATATACGGGATTAATATGAAACCCCTATCTCTTCTCATTAAGAAATCTGACCAAGGTAAACGTTTTTGAAAGTAGATCAAAATTCAAGATGAAGGTCACGAGGTCAAAAAATCTTTGTGCATTTAAAAAGGTCTTGTCACAGGTAATATACATATGAAAGCCCTGTCACTTCTTATTCAAAAATTATGGCCAATTCAAAGTAATGTTTAAGACCAATTTTTCCAACAATTTATTGGAATTCCCATAGGTACCAACTGCACCCCATTATCATACCTATTTTTGTAGTCATCTGAAGCAGATTTTGTGCAAAACCTTGGGCGTGAAAAGAAGAAAACACTTGCTGTGGCTTTCAACTCGACATTTAGATATATCGACGACGTATTGACAATTAACAATGGTATTTTTCATTCTTATGTCGATGCGATACATAATAGTGAGATAGAGATAAAAGATTCCACAGAGTCTGACACATCTGTTTCGTATTTGGATATTTTACTTGAAAAAAAAAACATAAATGGTAATCTAACAACCAACCTCTATGATAAACGTGATGATTTTAACTTTGCAGCAATTTTCATTACTTCCCTTACTTATGCAGGAACATACCTTCATCACCTGCATACGGAGTTTATATATCTCAGTTGATTCGATACGCAAGAGCATGTTCTACATATGAACAATTTCTAAAACGAGGTAAATTATTGACAAACAAACATGAATTTCAGCAGTCTCGTTTAAAGCCATCATTTCGTAAGTTCTATGGTCGATACAATGACCTTGTCAGCAAATACAATTTATCATTGAGTCAAATGCTGACTGCATGACATTTTTCGTATTAATTGTTAGTCCATTATTTATACACTGGTATTGAAAAACAGTTGCCCTCTACCCCCCCCCCCCCCCAAACGAAATAGGACTTTCGATTTTAGGCAATTATCTTTACTTTTTTGCTTGTCAACTTTTTCAGGTAAGTAAATAAAATCTCTGGCTGCCACCCCAACCCCGCCCACTTTCAAAAACGATGCTACGTCACTGGGCAGACGGTTTGGTTCGAGGGTCGACAAAACGCATTTTACCCGAGAACATATTCGGTAATAAGACCGCGGAACATTAACTGGCAAAATTGGAAATATACAGCTTACGTCATTTCTATCTGTTACAATCAAAACATTCAGTGATAGACAGCGTAATGGGCGGGTACAATTCGACGCGGACGTTTGGAAAACATCGGATTGAAATTGCAGATCGAAATTCATTTTCAATCCACCTCAACTACGCTAGAAGCCACAGTGTTACTGACTTACCCAGAAGACAAATAATTTCAAATTTGGTACAGTTTGAATTTTTTGTCCAGTGTTTTAAAAAAAAAATATTAAGGGACAAATATTTCATTTCTGCTTGGTAAATATACGTTTGGTTTAGGGGAGGGGGCTTAACAATTTTAAGTAAAGTTGTCCAACATTTTTCAGTGAGAATAAGTATACAACTCATGCACTCTAATATTCCTAGAAATAAAATCTGTTGTCATGTAAACATTACATGTAAGTCATGACCTGACTCGACAATTTTTACCCCCCCCCCCCACCGCTTAGAATCAAATATCTCCTGAAAAATAATCTTTGTCTTCTATCATCTTTCGCGTCCCTAAAATTATAAGCTAAAACTCGTATTAATGTGAACTTAATCAATATGTATTCGGGAGTTGAAATTAGTTGATTTTTGGATCATGTATATATTCACATCTTAGCTTTGAAAACAGTTCAGGTGGATTGAAAATGAATTTCGATCTGCAATTTCAATCCGATGTTTTCCAAACGTCCGCGTCGAATTGTACCCGCCCATTACGCTGTCTATCACTGAATGTTTTGATTGTAACAGATAGAAATGACGTAAGCTGTATATTTCCAATTTTGCCAGTTAATGTTCCGCGGTCTTAATTGTTTTGTTTTATCTTTTATTTTAATTTTTTTTTGACATACATGTATCTTGTCCTGTCTTCCGAACGTGATGTAACCTCAGGTACGTCACTGTTCAACATCAACGAATGCAAATGAGATAAAGCCCCGCCCATTGTGTGACGTAAGCGGTCCAATATCTTATCGACAGGTCCAACAACTCACTCAGCGGTCAAACATAGATTTTTTTATGCACGCTCAGTAAAAGTTAAACATTTAAGAAATGTTATACTTTTTTGTATAGATTTGTATTAGAACAAACTTGAAAAGGTATAACAATAAACAATTTACAATTAGTCAATTATTACCTCCATTTACCTGTGACAAGAATTTGTTGTCAAATGAACTATGATTTTTATGCCCCCATAATTTAATATTCGGGGGTATGTATTTTTTTGCCCTGTCCGACCGTCTGTCTGTTTGTCCTCACAAAAATTAACCTTGCCCATAACTTTTGATTGGGTGGGGCTGTGTCTTTGATGTTTCACAGGTGGATTCTTTGTGACAGAACCTTTCGTTTGGTACCATCAAATTTTGCCTCTTAACCTTGACTTTGGAAATTGATCCACTTTTATAAAACTTTAACCCTGGCCATAGCTTTTGAATATTTAGTAGCAGAGCATTCATATTTCACAGATGTATTTCTTGTGAGTTGTATTTTACCCTTTTCATAAGCTGCCAAAGACTTTTCTGTGGATACCAACCATTTTGACTTTTTGCCTTTGACCTTGGAGTTAGACTTTCATTTTAGAAAATTTAGCCATCGCCAAAAGCTGTCATATATACGGGGGCACCAGCACGTGTTTCACAAACACACCTTATTTATGCATTATCTGTTTTAAGACCTTTCCAAATGTATTCGGATTTTGTGCCCCCGTAATCGTAGATACGGGGTATAAATGTCTCTTTCTGTCTTTCCATCTGTCTGTCTATCTATCTGTCTGTTGGTCCGCAAAGTCTTTAACCTTGCTCATATTTCACATGTGTGTTCCCTTGTGAGAACTTTCTTTGGGTACCACCAAATTTGACCCCCTGACCTTGGAGTTTGGCCCACTTAAAAAAAAATACAAAACTTTAACTTTGGCCAAAGTTTTTAAACTTGGTCATAACTTTTGAACAAATAGTACCAGGGCTTTCATATTTCGCATATGCATTCTCATCGTCTCAAGCCACTGTCCGGATTCCGCACATAGTTCTCTCCTACACGGCCAAAATGGGAGAGGATCGTACAATTTGGCCGTGGTTTGCGACAATGATGCATTCCCTGTGACAAGATCTTTCTTTGGATACAACCTTTTGAGTTTTGACCTTGAAATTTGACCCACTTTTACAAAAAATATCACACTTTAACCTTGGTCATAACTTTTGAACAATTGGTGCCAGGCCTGGGGGCAATAAAACTTAGACGAGCTCACTTTTGATCTCAGTCTCACTTTAACCAAAGTTATTTATCATGAAAAAGTACGACTGAGATCAAAAGTGAGCTCGTTTAAGTTTTATGGCCCACAGGCCTGGACTTTCATACCTTACAAATTTATTTAATGTTAAAAGACCTTTTTTGGGGTACCACAAAATCTGACCTCTTGACCTACGAGTTTGAACCACTTTTATAAGAAAAAAAACAAACAAGAAACTTTAACCTTGGCCATATATTTGAACAATTTGTGAAGGGATTTCATACTTCACACGTGTATTCACTGTGACAAGACCTTTCAACAGGTATAAATATTTTTAACCTTGACATTAGAGTTTGACCCACTATTTAAAAAACTTTGGTCATAACTTTTGAAGTTAGAATTAGGGCTTTCGTATTTCATATGTGTGTTCCTCTTGACAAGATCTTCCCAAGATCTTCCATATACTATAATTATAGTATAGGGATTTTTTTTATTATTTATGAAGAAAAAGGTTAAAAACGTCAATTAAAGTATATTGAATTTTTTTATTTAAATGAAGAGAAAGTTAAAAACGTCAAGTGCCTGTGCTTTTTGGATACCAGCAATTTTGGTATTTTGACTTTGACCCTAAAGCTTAACCTACTTTTGACAAAACTTAAACTTAGTCACAACTAATGATGAGTTTTTGCCAAGACTTTAACATTTCACATGACCTGTATATTTCTCATGACAAAGCCTTCCCCTGGATAAATATAAATTTTACCTTTTGATCTTGGAGTTTGGTCGATCCACATTTTAAAAAGTTTATTCTTGGTCATAATGTACACAATGTGAAGTCGCGTTTATAATAAAGTTTGTTGTTAGATTACCATCAACACCTTTTTCTAGTAAAATATCCAAATAAGAAACTTATCTTTTATAAATTCGATAATTTATGTTTTTGTATAACAGACAAACAATACATGAAATATGTAGAAGAAATTTACGATATAAGTAATTGCACCTCACCATCAAAACACCAAAAGTATGGAACCATTATTACCATTATTCCTCCAATTCTAAAATAATAATAGTATTTAAATGTAGTAGTGGTAAAGGATTTTTAAAGGACAAGGTATGGTAACTGCTGAATCTGGCCCCTTATTAGATGTAAAAATCGGAACACAGTTAAAACTGCGATACTTTGTAGTCAAGAACTTAAATTGATGCTTGTTTCAAAACCAGCACTAATCTTGATTCAAAGCATACATAGAGGCCACAAGAGGGTGCAGAAATATGACTTTTTCCCCGAATTTTCTCCATTCTGGTGACATTTTGTCAAGTTCGAGATACTTTTCACCTCAGAAAACATATAGCACAAGCTTGCCTATCTGAGAATTTTACACACAAGATGCACCTGATACTAGTGTATGAAATATATAAATTTGGTAGATAGGCAAGCTTGTATTCTACATTTTCTGAAAGAAAACTGTTGTAAAATTGCTGTAAAATTGATTAAAATCTGCAAAAAAGGGAAAATTTGGAAATTGACATATTTTCTGACCTTCTTGTGACCTCTGTGTATCTTAGAACGTACCAATGCTAATTTTGTGGCAGGGGTGATAAATGGTTTTCAATTTATAAACTGTTGCATCATTCTAAGTCACCCCAAACCATGGGCCAAAAACGGGTCTTATCCTTTCTTGTCCTTTGTATATATATGAGGAAAAAAAAACATTGCACAAACACTATTTCCAAGGGATTCTTCTCAAATGTGTGTTGCATAACAGTGCTATCAAATGTAGACAAAAATATAATGTTTTTAACCTAAATGATGTTAGGTCCTGTGATTCTTGTGACATTGGCCTCTGAATTTTTTTTGTCTAAGCCTTATGCTTACAAGATTCAAAGAGCAAAATACATGTACAATATGCTGACAAACTTACTACAGTGGACCCTCATTTATCCGGAGGCTTTGGTTCCCAGTCAATTTGTCCGGATATGTGAAGTGTCCGGATACCTGAATCACCAGTTAAACAAGACAGAATAACAATTAAAAATTCTGTTCCGATGAAAAATCGTCTGGATACTGAAGCATCCGGATATCTGGCGTCCGGATATCTGGAGGTCCACTGTATTTGTATATATGAATAAAATTTATTGCTTAAAAAAAATGGTTGAAAAAGTGATTCTACTTGTCAGAGAAAGTCAAGATATGGAAAAGTTTATTATTACTAGGGCATCACCATGTGAGTGGGAATGAAAATGACATTGAATGAACATCTCATCAAGGGAGATGCTGATTTTGCTCAGAAAGTACTAGAAAGTCATAAATACTTATACATGTAGCTCCCTAATATACGTTAAATCACTTTTTATTTGTGAGAACTTTATTTTTGAGTAATTACACGAGTCACAATGTACTCATAAAAATTTAACTCTCGCTTATAATAATAGTATTCCTTAAGATTTATATAAAGAGCAATTCGTGAAAATTTTATTTCACTTATCAAAAGCCCATGACTATCTCGAGAAAATAAGCTGTTGCAAAAATATTAAAAGTGATCTATAGTAGAACACTGGCTTTTTAAAAAAGAAAAAAACATCTCTGCATGCAAAGGAACAACATCTGCACATGCAAAGGAATTTCTTATACAGGTAAGCAGGTTTTATTGTACATTGTACAATCTCATTACTAACTAAACAATTTCTCATGTTTCATTTATTTATTTAAAACATGACTGGATAGGACATACAATCATGTATAAATGTATATACATAAAAAATAATGTTAAATCTATTTTTGATATTCTTTTAAAGTCAATAACCTTATCTGTTCACATTTTAAAATGAGATTACTGAATCTCTTTAAGTGGTGAACAAATTCAAAATAAGATTATAAGCACTCAAATGTTCTCATTTCTTGTCACAGAAATTTAAAAATCAACACCTCTATAATGTTTATTTCTTTAAAATCGGGAACAATTCCAGTCATACAAGGTTTCACCATATTTTTTGGGACCTGGACCTGAAAAAAAGAAGAAAAAAAATTAATTTTAAAATAAATGAAGGAAAAGAGAGACCCATAAGTCTTAAGGGTCATCTATGTATCCTCCAAGAAAACAAGTGGTTTATAAAAAAGCGTAAACTGCTCCAACCCAGGTTATACATCTACCAGTATAACTTGGGTTGCTATTCAACTCATTCCTTATAATTTTAATAATTTTCAATCATTAAGTATAGAAAACAAGATAATTTCTCCCTTAAAAATGTCCTCAAATTGTTCATATTTTAAACATAACATCAAGCGGATTGATACGTTTTTGACGTAAGTCATTGTGACGTAGGCAACCCAGGTTATACAATTTAGATTAATTTTTTATCCAATCAAATGATGCGTTACAACCAAAATTAAATCATTTTATGAAATTCTCTGCACATAAGCTCTTTTTATCCTATATTTCAAGCTTCCTTGTATGCCTCTAAAAAAAATTTTTACCTAGACAAAATTAAATAATTTTCCTGCAACTTCAAAATGAGTAGCACACTAGGAAATGAACCCCAACTACAGGTTATGCACATCGTCCATGTCCATAACCATTAACTTAAGTATGCTCAAAATAGTCCCTTCAAAGGTCTGAAAAAAATTGGACTGGATGGTCATGAATTTCAAATTTTTCAAAGAGGATTAAAAACCTCTTATAATCATGATTTAACAAGGTTAAAACAGTATACCACCTTTCCATTGAATTGGGGGGGGGGGGCATAATAGACACAAAGAACAAGAAATGTTTGTGAAACACTTAATATGTTCCTCTCCCCTAAATAATTGCAATTTTCCTAAATCCAAGGGTCATAACTCTATCATAAATTGCTTTATCGTACCAAAAAAGAACGTATCTTAGATATTCTTATGATAAATCTGTATACCAAATTTCATTTCAGTATGTGCAACCTCTGCAATTCATTTAATGGAAACTATTGGTGGACCAACTGACCAACCAACAACAGACAGCTCAACAAAGCAATATGCCCTCCCTTCTTCAAAGTATGGTACCAGTAATTTGAAAGCCTTTGCAACAAAGACAAGTTTCAAGTTTTTATGGTCAAACAGACTGATTAATAGATAAACAGACAGATGGACAAATTTAGGAAGCCAGGGTTGCAGAAACTGGGATTACATATGAACTCAGTTTTCCTATAAACAATGTTCAATTATTTACAAGCCTACATTGTGATATGTTAGAGTTTAAACATTTATACAAGAAGAGTCTTTTGAAAGTCAGTTGTTTGAAAACCTATACCTTGTGTGATGACTGCATACTTAGACATGTAATTAAAATTTAAATGCCATCTGAGACCAGTAAAAATAAGCAACCTGAAATGCAGGTAACTGGGTATTGTGTGATCAGAGTGCAAAAGCTACTCTTCCTTTCTGGTTGCTAAAACAGTCGCCATTACAGTTTTATTCACTGAAAGGTAAATACCAACAGTCTATTTCTTTTACCAGCATTAATATTTTTTAATTTTAATATCCTTAAATTACACAGTACAGACTTAAAATTAATGATAGCAAATACAATTAAATTTTTCGTACCATTTAAGCCCTCGAATATTGCATGTTTACAAAAATACCAAGAACACGCAGAATTTGAATTTTTTTTTTTCAAAAGTGGGGTGGTCGGGTGGGGTGGGTGTGGTGTTTGAAAAAAATCTTTTTTGTAGACATCTACATGCAATTCAAAAGATAATTTAAAGATTATTTTCTCAGAATACAGATTTTGTCGTGTTTAGGTATACCCTTTGTATCAATCAAAATTAATGAGCTTATTTCTTTGCTATTCTAAACAAAACGTCCATGGAGCACATCTCTCAACTGGGCACTTTAGCTATAGAAAAACAGAAATAAGTTAAGCACTGAAAAGTTTAAATATACATGTTTATTTCCTATCTAGCTTGTAACACAAGCTTTGATTGGTTACGGAGTTGGTTGTAAATTTCAGTACACCCGACTTCAGCCGGGGGTAAAAAAACGTGATGTCACAATGCATAGTTTTTCTTTGATAAAAGCAAATAACATGACGTCACAATGCATTGTAGTAAGTAGTTATCTTATCGATAGATTGATTAGACTCTGATAGTAACAAAGAATTTTTATGGGTTCATAGGAAATAAATTTGTTATCCAGGTCCAATCAAGGGTGTATGGGGATTTACTACTGGTACACCCTTGATTGAACCTAGCTAACTAATAACGTACCCCCCTCCCCCCTTGAGGTGATAATTTTTGAAGATTTTTCTCGTATCTTCCTAGGTAAAACTTTTATTACTGTTGCAGTCTCAACCTTAGCCAGGTGATCATGATTAGTACAAATTGAATCTACACTAATGACTATGTTATGAAGCTTTTACATAAGTTTAGTCTTTTCTGGCTCAGCTGCAGTGGTAATTGGGAGTTTGACTGAAACTTTTAAAGAATTCGAAAATGTGAAAAGTTTACACACAATTATAAGGTTTTGCCTCAAGTGAACTGAAAATATGCTGCTCGATTTTCTTCATTTCAGAGCCAAGTCTTTAGTCATGGATCCACATATCCGTGCCCAGGAGTTGATACTATGTGACCTTTGTAGGACAGAAATGGTAAAATTTCATTGTGATACATGCAACATCAAACTGTGAAATGCCTGTATTGGAGTACATATGGAATCTGATGAATCCAAGAAAAAACATGAGATTGTAAGATTCATATTTCGAAAATCAATTCCACTATACCCCAAATGTTCATTCCATGACAAAACATAGGTAATCAGAGATTACAGAGCTCACCTCAACGAATGTTGTCTTTCAGTAAGGCAAAGTCACACAATTAACCAACAAAAAAAGTGTACATTCCAAAAATGAAAATATTTAAGCAATTTTGATCTGATACTTTGAAATAGACCTACATAAAAAATTTAAACTAGTTCTTCTTAATGAAAATGTAATCAAAATCCAGCATCTGAAGCAAATTTGAGAATTTTCATCTCTTGATGCAACATTTGTGTAAGTTTGGTTTATACTATGTTATATGAGCCTTATAGTTTTTTGGTAATAGACCTGCAACCATAACTTTTACCTGGTCTATTATCTGAAAAATGTATGTCAAATTCAGCATCCGAAGTAAGTCCATTAGTGTGCATCCTAAGATGTATCGTCCATGCAAGTTTGCTCATTATAGGGCTCATAGTTAATTGGAAATGAAACATGTATTAAAAACTAACATTTTCACTCATCCACAAAAAGTAGATCAGATTCAGCATCCGAAGCAGGCCTGGTAGTTTGCATCCTTAGATGTATCATCCATGCAAGTTTGGTCAACATAGGGCTTAAAGTTACTTGCAAATGAAACCTGCACCAAAAACTTTAACCTGTTCACTCAACCGGAAAATGTAGGTCAGATTCAGCATCCGAAGCAAGCCTGGTAGTATCCATCCTTAAATGTATCATCCATGCAAGTTTGGTCAACATAGGACTTATAGTTACTTGGAAATGAAACCTGCACCAAAAACTTTAACCTGTTCACTCAACTGGAAAATGTAGGTCAGATTCAGCATCCGAAGCAAGCCCGATAATATTCATCCTTAGATGTATCATGCCTGCCAGTTTGGTCAACATAGGGCTTATAGTTACTTGGAAATGAAACCTGCACCAAAAACTTTAACCTGTTCACTCAACCAGAAAATGTAGGTCAGATTCAGCATCCGAAGCAAGCCTGGTAGTATCCATCCTTAAATGTATCATCCATGCAAGTTTGGTCAACATAGGACTTATAGTTACTTGGAAATGAAACCTGCACCAAACTTTAACCTGTTCACTCAACCGGAAAATGTAGGTCAGATTCAGCATCCGAAGCAAGCCCGGTAGTATGCATCCTTAGATGTATCATGCATGCAAGTTTGGTCAATATAGGGCTTATAGTAACTTGGAAATGAAATCTACACCAAAAACTGCACCAAAAATGTTAACCTGCTCCAAAAACATTAACCTGGTCATTCCTTTGCTGAAACTGCAGCATCTGAAACTTTCACTGGTACAATGAAACACAGTAGAACCATCTTCCATGCATGTCTAATCAATATTGGACATAAAAGTACTTAAAAAGAAAACTGCTCCAAAAAACTTAACCTTAACCTGGGACGCCGACGCCGACACGGACGCCGACGCCGACGCCGACACCGACGCCGACGCCGAGGGTATTACATAAGCTCCCCCAACTTCGTTGAGGTGAGCTAAAAACAATGTGAAATGTATTGTAATCAATGCAATATTCCTGTCTGTCGTACTTGTGTTGAATCCCTGCAACATGCAGGTCACAAAATTTTAGAAATTTTGCAAATCCTGGACAAAATCAAAGAAAGGTTCATCAAAGAACAGAAGGAATTAAATGACACTATTCTTCCAACCTACCTGGACATTGCATCCGATGTAGAAAACATGATAGAACAGTTAGAAATGGAAAATGGAGATGTCTCTAAAGCCATAACAAAACATGGGGATAAATCGATGGCACACAATGGTTGACCAAGCCATCAAACAATTGCACTTTGATGTCGAAAAGACGAAAACTAGACAGATACTAACTTTACAGAGACATCTGGACAAAATTAAGGAGAAAATTTCTGAAATAAAGGATGGCATTAACTCAGCTGATGTTGATATGGATTCCTATGACATTTCAGAACTATTAGGTTTTACAAATAATATAGATAAATACAAAAATTTTCCACAGAAAATTGTACCATTTTTATCTAAATTCACTCCACAAACAATCAAAGGGGAAGAACTTTTAAAACTGTTTGGAACTATATCATCAGAAAAACTTACTTCAAATGAAGAAGAACAATGTTACAGTTTCAATAAAACAATAGAATCACTAGAACCTGGATGCTTTCCTACAATTAAACAGCTGCTTGGTGAGCCAGAGATCATCACTACCCTAAAAGCTGAGTATAGAGTCCACCTAACTAATGTGGCCTGTCTGAGTGATGAAGAAATCTGGACAAGTGGAGACGAAAAAACCATGAAACTTTACAACCTGAAACATGGCTCACTAATTAAATCAATCACAACCAAGTCAAGGAAAATCCCTCAAGACATAGCAATAACAAAACATGGCCACCTTGTTTACACTGATCCCCATGATAGATCCGTTAACATTGTGAAGAATGAAGAAATTGAGACTGTGATCAAACTACAGAACTGGAAACCATTGAATGTTTGCAGTACCTCCATCTCTGGTGACCTCGTGGTTACCATGGACAATGATGAAAGCAACCAATCACAGGTTGTCCGTTACTCTGGCTCCACAGAGAAACAGTTTATTCAATTTAACAATGATGGTGAACCACTGTATTCATCTGGCGATGTGAAGTACATCAGTGAAAACAAGAACTTGGATATCTGTGTGGCTGACAGTCAAGCAAAAGCAGTTGTAGTGGTCAATCAAGCAGGGAAACTGAGGTTCAGATACACTGGACATATCCCTATTCTAAAGAACCCACCATTCAGTCCATTAGGAATTGCCACCGATAGTCAGAGTTACATTCTTACAGCAGACATAAGAAATTTCTATATTCATATCACAGACCAGGATGGACAGTTCCTTAGTTACATAGACTGTGGACTGAGTAGACCTTGGGGATTATATACAGATTCAAATGACAATCTGCTTGTTGCCCAATGGGGAAACCAAGAAGTCAAGAAAATAAAATATCTGCAGTGAAGTTAAAACAATCCTGCACTGAAATTCATAATTCGAAATTCACACATTTCTTTATAAGAAATTAAGAATAAACTTGAAAATTTTATCATGAATATGAAACATGATCTTTCACTAATCCAAGATTCCTCTGACTCTTACCCCTGCACATGTCACAATATTATATAAAAATCAGGGATAAGAGTCAGAGGAATATTGGAGAAGATCTTTCACATATTTGTTAAATATGCAATATTATACTATGAGCAATTCACCTTTAATAAATATACTTGCTAAAACTTGAATGATCAGCTTTTCAAACAATTGCTATGAACTCATTAAAACAATTTGTATTTCTTATAGCTTGATGCTTAATATCTTATACAACCTTTTCCCCTTACACAGAAGCCACTTTATATTTAATTTAAAGTAAAACTAAATTCCCTGTCTCAATTTCTCATTATCTTTGCAATAATTAAGATATTGATTAAATTAATTTCATTTATATTGAATGTCACTGTCTAGTAGATTATCATTAAAGTGAGCTGACAATAAGTTGTTTTTATAAATATGTATTGAAGTCTTCATCATGGTTGGTGGCATCATAATTATAGAGGTAGACACTAAGGTCTCAGTAGATATATATTTTATTACATAACGAGAAAAGGATGAAATGAAATCAGCAAATATTTCTAGATAAGCCAAAGCGAAGAAATAAAAAGCTTAAAAGACAATGCTTTTTGAAAAATGATGGATGGAAACAAATTTATAGCAATAGATCATCTTCAAAAAAGAAATCAACCAGATTTCTTTGCGAGTTTATTTTTCATCCTTTCTTTAAACATTGTACTTTAAGAGGGTTCAAAATGAAAAGTATTGTAATTATTAATTTACATATGGCATCTATATATGAATGACCTTAAAAAATGAATAAAAGTGTACAATTATTTCATATACTACATATTGTACTGATTATTAGTATGGTTGCAGCATTTAACTGGCTTTGACTGGTATGGAAGGTTAAAACTAAAACTAACTGACTTACCAATATGTGGAAAATCCTCTTTATGCTCATCATAGTACAATTCAACAAATTTATGTCGCCTTGTGTATCTCTTGTAATTCCATGTCCTCCATGACTCCAACAAAAACATGATTAAACATGCCTTTCCAATGCCCACTGTTCCCATTCCTGAGAAACAAAGAAATCCATTGAATTTAAGGTTTTATTTGAAAACTTTTTTTAAAGTAAATTTTAAAGTTTAATGTAAACTGTAGAGGCATCCTAGAAATTTGCACAGTCTACAGAGAACAACTTCTGCGCAGTTTCTGACCTCTCTCATCATCACAAACCATGGCTAAAATGTATGATCCTCTCCCATTTAGGCCGTGGTTCAACGAGAAGAGAATTTTTTGTGGCTCGTTAAGATATTGACCAATCCGAGTAAAGCATTGTTTGAAAATGAACTTTGACACGACCTTTCAATACCCAATCGCAGTACCTTATATACTCGCTTATAAGTCGGTATATTGGGAGTTAAATATTGGTCTAAAACTCTATGTCCGACTTATAGGCCAGTCATAAAGAGATTGGTATTTTTCTGGATACTAAAAGGTAGTATTTCATTTGCATTTCCAATGATTATCAAAGAAAATGTCTGGTCCCGGCTGACTGCCATATTCCCCCCTCCTTAAAGGTCTTTGGCCCTCCAAAGTCCTCAAACCAGGCTCATCCCTGGCAGGCCTCTCACCTGTCAATTCCAGGGCATGGCACGGCACCAAATGTAACGGGAGAGGAGAAAATGCAGTGAACCAGACCGGGATTCGAATCTGGGCCCCCTGAAACTCCGGTCAGGTGCTCTACAAACTGAGCTTATATCTGGCCACCGGCACTCAAACCCGGCTGACCGCCACACAAGAAAAGTGTAGATATTGAACAGGTTGGGACCAATCGCCCAAATGGGATATAATAGTCCGTTTGAGATATAATATCCCAAATGGGCTATAAATTTACAGTGCAAAAATTGAAAATTTTTATTTTGGCAATAAATATCATAAATCCGCATCAGAACACTTAAAAAGGAATAACTTTTGGTTGACAAGTTTTCCTGTATGCCCATTGTTTATGAGATTGATCCCTCGGAAGTTCCTTAACTTCTTGGGGATCAATCTTTAAAACAGTAGGGTTGCAGAAAAACTTGCTTCACAAAAGTTATTCCTTTTTAAGTGTTCTGATGCGGATTTATGATATTTATTGCCAAAATAAAAATTTTCAATTTTTGCACTGTAAATTTATAGCCCATTTGGGATATTATATCCCAAACGGACTATTATATCCCATTTGGGCGATTGGTCCCAACCTGTTGAATAAAATCAAGTGTGAAATAAGGCATCCAGGGAATCCAAGATGGTGAGTTGCAAATTGTGTCTTTTTAAATACAGAAATATGTGGTTAAAAAATGCTTATTTTAGCAGAGAGCATTTAGAGTCGGCTGAGGCTATCCGCACAATGGTCGTGCTATTACCGATGTTATCAGCACGACGGTCGTGCGAATTATAAACGTTATTCGCACGACAAACTGCAAAATTAATTTACGTTTATTTGTATTATATTTTTACTCTGATATGATTTTTTACATGTCATTCTGCTTCTGTACGTTGAAACTCAAAACAAATTTTATTTATTAGACATCCACATTAAGTTGACCTACCTTTTTCCATGCTTACTTTTCAGGAGTTTCTATGCAAGAGTTTTTTTTTTTTTTTTTTTTGAATGTGATTTAGCCGTTTTTTGCACTGATATGATTTTTCCAAGAAAAAAAGGAAGTAAAGAAAAGAAAGGCCCCCCTTAAAAAACGGCATTTTTATTTTCGAAATACGACACGCAAATTTTAATTTTATATACACCCATATGATACATGAACTAGTATAATATAGGAATCAAGATTACGATCTCCCTATGGTAATAATAAAAGAACAAACAAGGTTACCCTCTTTCAGAACGTTCACAGTTGTGTTCCTTTCTAAATAAATAAAATTTCGCATTTTTATACTCAGTAATAGTTTTCTTATTTGTAAAATAATGCTGTACCACAGGCACTTGTTTCGGAAATAATTATTAAACCCATAGTATTATAATAACACCTTGTGTTACTATTATACTATGGGTTTAAAAATTATTTCTGAAACAAGTGCCTGTGTGCTGTACATAACAATTAAAATAATAAAGCATAGAATAAATTTAAGCTAACCATGATTATTATATTTTTTAGGCCAGGGGTGGGGTGTTATTTTGGAAATTCAAAACATTTTTATACATGCAGTATACATATAACTAAAATGCAACTATAATGAATGTTTATGTCATATTTATAAACAAAACAAGATTAACATATACTGGATTCTCTCTATCATTTTGGGGACTATGGGTCACCCCTGTCTAAAAATCCGTGAGGTTTTTCACACTTGAATCCTTCAAACTATCGCAGTTCTACTTACCGCATGGTCAATTTCTCGACTGTGGGCGCAATTCACGTGCACAATTTCAGCGGCACTTAGGGACTTACATCATGTAAATGTCTCAAAAAATAATACGGAAAATTCGACATAATATTTTACCCATATTATAATTTTTACATGAAGTATTCAGAAGAAATAGGAAAGAGAGAGAATTAAAATAGGGAAAGACTAATTAAGACCGTAAATAAAGGAAAGTATATTATTATGAGAAAAATATTTGTGTACAGGTTATAATATGTATAATTTTTGCTCCAATATCAACAACAAATTAAATAATACAAAGGATGAATAATATTTAAAAATATGTGTCAATTTATTTAGACACGACGAAGAATAAAATAAAAATATACGTTCGTTGGTTGGGGTGAAAAGTATATGTTCGTTGGTTGGGGGGTAAAAAGTATACGTTCGTTGTACATATATAATTTCCCCCACGAACAGTGTTCAGCGTTGATATAATTAATGTTAGAGTTATCTCTCTTGTGTCGTGCGGTTAAGAACTGTTATTAGCACGATCGTCGTGCGGATAACGAAATTTATCCGCACGACCGTCGTGCCAATAGACACTTCCTTTAGAGTCTGACAATGTCTGACAAATATAGAAAAACACAATTTGACAATAGTTATACACAAAAAACACCATCCTAAAGCCAAGTGCTGATACCACTCTCAAAAGTTTGTAATTAACAAGAGCACGTCTTTGCTTTGTGAGACTTACTAGTATAATATGGAACTTTCCTTGAAGCATTCTGCAGAGCATGGCCAAACATCCCAATTGCTCCCCCAATTGGTGTCAGGAGACTAACTTCTCTTTTCATAGCGGAATTATGTCCGATATTCTTATCAAAATCAAACACTCCTGCATATTCCTCCTCCTTGTCAAAGTCGCCTTTCTCGATGTTACTCATGTTTATCTTTTTATTTGCCCCTCAATCGGGGGCCTCCAACTAGTGTTCGGTGTTGTCAGTTGTGGTTTCTCCTTTCTCCTCCAAAATGTCCTACAACGCCTTAGTAGGTCGTTCGACAAGTTAGTTAGGATTAATTGTAATGTGTCAATGAATTTGGATAATATTGCATCGCAAACGTAGTTCTTAAATAAGTCTCAAACATAATGTTTTATGTTATAGAATGAAATGTTTTTAAAAATATACAAATTCCTATATGTTTACAATACGAATATTATTGGTGCGACCATCATACTTTCACTTTTGTTTTCACCCTTGAAAACAAAAATGAGCACGAGGACATCAAAAATCGCAAATATTTCCCTAAAAAACGCAAAATCTTGTTGCAATAATGGTAATTTTGGAAGATCATTTGCTCATTATTTACTTTATTTAAAATTAGCCCCCGAAAAGACGGATGATGTGATGATAGACTTCGTGTTTGTGATGAGAAATTGGACTGAACAACTCGAAAGAGAAAATAGGATAGAGGATCTCTTCCGCTGCTACGAACAAGCGTGTGAAATTATACCAGATTGTGAAGTCATACTGAATAACATTGGTGCTCAACTATTTCGGTAAATATCTTTCTTCATTTTACAGTAGGCCTAATTACATCTGCATTTTAAGAATCACACGGGTTTAAATTTTTAGGTACTGTAGCTTGTTAAAGCCAATAAACGTGTTTTTGTTCTTTTCTTGGTTTTAACTCGTCCACCATGCTGACGTTTAGTAATCTCAGAATTATTTATAGTATATATACTTTGTTATGGAATTATCTACTCCCTTTTTAGCTCACCTCGATGAAGTCGAGATCAGATGATCTTATGCTATACCCCCAGCCTTGGCGTCAGCGTCCCAGGTTAAAGTTTTAGGAGCAAGTCCATTCCCAAGTAACTATAAGCCCTACCTGAACAAACTTGCATGGATGATGCATCTAGGGATGGACACTACCAGACTTGTTTCGGATGCTGGATCTGACCTACATTTTCATTCCCGAGTAACTATAAGACCTTTCTGAACCAAACTTGCATGGATGATGCATCTAGGGATGTACACTACCAGACCTGCTTCGGATGCTGGATCTGACCAACATTTTCATTCCCAAATAACTATAAGCCCTACATGATTCAAACTTGCATGGATGATTTTTTGCATCAAGGGATAAGACTCATAAAGACTTGTTTTGATTATGCTGGATCTGACCTACATTTTCATTCCCACATAACTATAAAACCTTTCTGAACCAAACTTGCATGGATGATGCATCTAGGGATGTACACTACCAGACTTGCTTCGGATGCTGGATCTGACCTACATTTTCATTCCCAAATAACTAGAAGCCCTACCTGATTCAAACTTGCATGGATGATGCATCTAGGGATGGACACTACCAGACTTGCTTCGGATGCTGGATCTGAACTATTTTTTTACAAACAAGAGACCAGGTTAAAGTTTTTGGAACAGATCAATCCCAACGAACTTCCTAGTCCTAGATATGCAGTATTTACAAAGTTATGGACATTTGTTTACACTATATATGTTTTTCATGCTAGACGTGTAGAAATGTGTATATGCCATGTTAAACAGAACTTGCAAGAGTATTGTTGTCGGGATAAATACTATTAGTAAGTATTAAGAAAATATGATGTGAGATTTGCATTACATACACTGATAACATTTGTAGAGGTGAGCTTCGTAATCTTTGATTACCTATGTTTTGTTGTTGTAACATATGGACATCCAAGTGTGTATGTGTACACCAAATTCAATTTATGAGGTCTCTAAATACAAGTCAATTATAATATCTGCCATTTTCCAGTCTCCTTTTCACAATTTTGATAATTTACTTGCCCGCAAAATGTCAGAACCAGCTTCATTATGAGAACTGGAAATTTCACTGTCATCAGCTGGAGTTGATTTTTTATGCTTATGAACCATATTTAATGCTGACCTCAACAATAGCACTATGCTTCTAGAACTCACCAATATCAATTAAAAGAAAAATATTTACATCCACTGAATATTTTCTCCTTTATTTCTTAAGAAAACCCATTGCGTTAATCACTGCATGAACTACATTAGGCATGTTGCCTGTACAGATTTCTTGATCAGTGGCTGTTCCATGGATGAAACGTATAAAAATGTTCGCATCTGACATTAATACAATAATTAATCTTTTTAATCTTACTTTAAATGATTATTTAAGCAGATATGATAATAAAATGTCTTTCTTTGTTAGGCGGGTTATGTATTTTTTCTGCAACAGCTGCTTCCGTTAATTCCAGTAATAACAAACAAAGAAAGCATTTTATTGTTTAACATCACTCCACATTTTAATTCAAGACCTACAAAATTTTGAATGCAGCCTACAGGAAATAAAAAAAAAATTTACAGTCTTATAAAATGTTTTGATGGCATTGTATATTCTATAAGTAAACCATAAAAATGATTTTGGTGAGCATAATCAAAGTATTATACTATTGACAAGTTGTTAGTTTATTAACATTTAAAATCAGTTCGCAAATAGGGATAATGGACCTGAGAATGCTGCCTCTGATTGGAGGCATCTAATTCCCAGTATTTTTTTTATCTCACATGTAAAATATCAAAATCTTAATCATTTAAAAAAGCCTGAAAAATATAAAATATTTTGGAGTATCCAAATACATTCCATGTACAGTCAATACTAAAGAGTAGTATGCATATATATTTTAATAAATATAATAATAAAAAAAAAATTGATGGCAGAAACATGATATTGTAAGATGGCATTTCAACAATCTTAATGTGTAGTGATGTATCAGGAGTGGATCAAAGATCCAATTTTAATAAGACTGGCATTGCAAATTCTCACAGCATTGGATACTTGGAAGAGGCAGCTGCCTACGTCCGCAAGTCCTTGGAGATAAATCCCAATTACTCCGCAGCTAGAGAGAACTTGGACAACATTTGCTGCCATCTGGTGGAGCGCTGGCACTTCAGGATGTTGAATGATGTCAGAAGAAATATTGCCTACCAAACTGCTATTCAGAGAGTTTCAAAACTGGGTCACACTAGCGTTTTAGACATGGGAGCTGGAACAGGGATACTAAGGTTTGTGTGTGAACTATCGTTTCTATAGTACATATAGCTTTGCATTCTTTTTCTAAGAAATATATGGTGTCAGGAACATTTTGGAAAAAAAAAATGTTAAATACAATAATATTTACAGTTCATTTCATTTTATTAGGCCTTAAACAAGAAAAGTGCCTAAATGTTCTGTTAAGTATAACGTTAAGTCAGTACATGCAAATTAAAATCTTTATTACATGTATTTATTACATTTTGAATATTTTTTTTTAGTATGTTTGCTAGAAAAGCCAAATTTAAGAACATCTATGCATGCGAACGATCAAGAACAATGTGTGACTTGATCGAGAAAATTCTTGTCGCAAACAATTGTGAGGAAGAGGTCATGCTAATTCCCAAAAATTCCACGGAGCTAATTCTAGGCAAGGACATTCCAGAAAGGTAATGTTTACAATCTTGAACACCCTTCTTGATTTAAACTCTGTCATATCATATGGGTCATGAATATTTATTGCTGTAACTACCGGGTATAAAAAAAGATTAGTTTAAATTAGATAGTGTATTGAAATCCTATTGAAGACAGGCTGCCCATCTATCTGTGCAATTGTGCCAAAGCTATCACTTTTCAATTGAGAAATACTGGTAATTCCAATGGCCCAAGGAGAAAAAGTGAGAAATCTATAAAAGAGAATTATAATAATCATGGAGTTGTGTTTACTTTAATTCAGATTAGACTTGCTTGTAACTGAGACTTTTGATGCTGCATTATTTGGAGAGCATGTGATTCCATCCCTTATCCATGCTTGGGATAATATACTTAATCAGGTAGGAGGAGGTGTGGTAAAATGACTAAAATCCAAAGTGAAAATGCTTGATACTTGATACATGTATGTGTAGATTTAAATCAAAAACTAATTTCTCTGTGTTAATCTTCCATCTAATTGCAGGAATCTGGCAAAGTGATACCAGAGAGAGCCACTGTTTATGTGTGTGCAATAGAGTGTGAAAAACTAAGGCTTCAGAACAGGTAATACAAAAATGTGATGAAAACACATGTACAACAAACTTTTAGTATCTTGAGTAATGGAAGTTGATTTTCTGTGTGCATAAATTGCTGTAAACTCTCTGAGAATGGGACACTACAAAATAATAACTGGTAGTTCTTCTGTACCTAAATTCTTGGTCCTTTCAAATTGGTAATTAAGGAAAACATCAGCTCTTACTAAAAGGTTGTAAGTTTAATACTGTCCATTTTTTCTGCTGCTTTTCTTCCCTACCCACTTTGCATGCAAAGTATATCTGTACAAGAAAAAAAATGCTATATTTTAACAGGTTTTTGTATCCTGGACTACAGAATTTAGATTTTAACAACATCCACATTATATGTAACACATCACATTCCCTGGATGAACCTTATTCAACAGAGAACCTTCACAACATGAGCGGACAATTCAAGTTCCTGTCTGAGCCTACCAGACTGTCTGTTATTGATTTTAATGATATACAGGTAGTGATTATAATAAGTTTAACCTATTTAATTAAGATTTTTCAAATAAATCAGTTTTGAATACTGGATACTGTTACTGTAAACCTACTTTTATTTGTGTGCAAGAAATTTTCTTGAGTTTTGCAAGAGCCTCATCATCATGAATATTTCTCGCCGCGAACCGATCCTTAAAGTCTCTGTGTCTGTTAACAACAGATCCAAAAAAGGCTTGATCTCAAAAAGGAATCGTTGGAAACTAGTTATTGTTAACCCCTGGTAAATCATGAAATAAAGTTGTCACAAATAAAAGTTGGTTTACAGTATATTATGGATATAATTAAGCAATTTAAAAAAGCCAATACCCACTTGAAATATTTCTTAAATACCTGAATAATATACTGTTGACCTTTATTATCTTGAACTCTACTTTGTTGAACCTTGGCTACATGTATGTTGAAGTGTATTGAAAATCCCAACAACATTTTCTTAATAAAATTTACCCTCAAAATCTCGAACCCTTGGATGTCTTGAAGCTTTTTCTTGCTCCAGTTGAGTTTTAGATATCAAGATTTGGCTGTACTTTGAATACTGATTAAAACATGTAGAAAAGCATTGGTAAAAAATAGTTTCTTAAGGATATCTGATCCTCAGCCAGGAAGGATAACTCCAAAAATTCATATTTAATTTGAAATGCATCGAAATGAAGCTTGAAAATGAAATTTTTTCATGCAACAATTTTCATTTTATTCATCTTTATAAGATTCAAGGTTTTTGGAAGTCCTTATAAAAGTGACATTTGGACCCTATAAAAGGGGAAAAAATGAATACAGTTTTAGAGAAATAAGATTTTCTTGAACCCAGCCTTAGATACAAATGCTTATTAGTAATATGAAATAAGAAGTGATTTGTGGTGTCTTGCAATGATAAAAAGCCTTTTACACTATGTATTATAGAATACATGACAGAAATAGAAGACAAAAAATACCAAATAAGTATAAAAATCATGACAATGTCTCTGAATGCCTGGATACCTATTATTTTTTAACCTAAAATATATTTGTTGATCAATTTGCAATTAGAAAATGCGTTGCTGATATTCCAATTCGCTTTTTCTGCAAAAATATTGGAGATTTGACAATTTTCCCTATATAATATGATTAACTTTAATCTTTAACTTTAAAGAAATACTGTGGATAAATTTACATAAGTTTGTGGATTCAGAGATACTTTTATGATATTTTTGAAAACAATTTTAATTAATTAATTTAATTCAGTATTGATGCAAAATTGATATGATTGAAATGCAAAGTTTAAAGTATAATTATAAACTTTAAAAAGGAAGAAGCACTGATATAAATCATTCTTAATCATTGCAAAAACTGAAGAAAAATCTCATTTCTTGTGAAGCAGATTCAAAACATCTAGCCAAAATTTAAATAATTTGAACTGAAATGTATTTTCTAGATGCTGAAAACATTCCAGGAGGGAGTTAGCTTTGAGGTAAAAATTCCCATTAAATCTCCCGGCAAGCTGGATGCCCTGGCGGTTTGGTTTGATCTTCATCTGTTCCAAGACATCTCCATAACAACAAGTCCGTCCATCCCAAACTGCTGGGAACAAGCTATTTTTCCCATAATTCCTTCCAAATCACCAAATTCAAATACAGGTATGCTCTATGACTCCCTTGCAACATTGACATGTGATCTGCAATTTTCTTTGTGTTCTTTCCTTTGTTTGATAGAGTAAAACTTGTTTTAAGTGTGATGCCTTACCATATCATTTACAAGGGTTCATTTATATACCCTAGGTTCATAGATCTGGGGACATGTTTTTTTTCTGTCACTGTTGTTCTGTGTTTCTGTTATAACCTTAAACCATTCTTTATAACTTTTTAACCAAAGAAATTCCCTTTTTTTTTTAAATATCTTCAAAGATTTGGATATATGTTAGAGCTTCAATGTTTATCCATCACCTTGTCCATCTGTCTGTCCTTATGTCCACTTGAACATTCAGTCTTCCCTTGTTATAACTTTATAAATATTGTGAGCTTATACTTAATATAAAGGTTGCATATGACTTGAAAATGTGTCTTGACCTGAATATTAAAGGTCATTTGGTCAAGTTCAAGGTCATTAGGTGAAAAGTGTAAAATTGTGTCCCATTCATAGCTTTCTAAGAAAGAAAGTTGAAAGTTAATGCTTCAAGCAAAGATTGCTTGTGACCTGAAGATGTTTCAAGACCTTGGTCCAAGGTCATTTGCTCAAGTTCAAGGTCACTTTCAGTAAAATATTTCAATTCTTGACCTGACCATTTGTTGTAATGATGAAACTTAAAAGTATTATTGTAAATCACTTTTCATTCGCGAGAACTTTATTTTCGGCTAATTACGCGAGAGAATGAGCTCACGAAAATTTTATTCTCGTGTATAATAGTATACCTTAAGATTTTATTGAGAAGTAACGATTCATGAAAATTATTTCTCGCTAAATAAGAGTAAATGACAATCTTGCGAAAATACGGTGTCGCGAAAAATTAGTGATATACAGTACTACATGCTTGCCACAAAGACTGTCTATGATGAGATTGTGTATATGATCTTGATGTAAGGTCATTTAGGCAAGTTCATGGTCAATGGTTACATATTCTGGTCCATATCTCCTTAATGGAAAAATATATGAGAATGATACTTTACACAAGCTTATGACATTAGGGGTGTATTGTAATCTTGCTGCAATGGAATCATTGGTCAACCTTTTGGTTTTTTGTAAATCCTTTACAGATGAAAAGGGGAGCATTAACCAGAAAGAAGGCGACAGGATTATCTCGGTCTTCAGCCTCCACCAGAATCGTCTGCATATCAAGTCATGGCAGAAGACGGAAATCTCAGCAGCCGAGGAAAACAGATGCCACAACTCCAGCAAAGAAGAAAAAGTGTTCTACATGGACAGAATTGAACTGTACAGATTAAATAATCTGCATTTGAACAGAATGCAGTGTAAATCTTTGACTCAAATTAAAACTCAGTGCCCAGAAAGAAATTTGACTCTTTTAGACTTCTCCTCCATGTTTTCTCCCATCAGCCTTCAGATGGGTCGTCGTGGTTACCAATCGGGGACGGTAGTTATGAAGTCAGAGTTTCATGAACTGTATCAGACTCTTTTGAACACAAATGAGCTGGTTGATTTGAATTACGATGTTTTGGATGTGAGTGAGTGGCCAGACTTGACTAGAAAACATGACATAATTCTGTGTGATCCCGTAGAACTGTGTGGAGCATTAAGGCAGCAGATCTTTGAAGATTTGGACTTACTGAAGTAAGTGTCATTTTCTTTGAGGTTTAAATCTGTAAATTCTTTTTATTTTAAATTAGCATTTTTAATAATCAAAAATAATATACCATCCCATACCCCCACCCCCAAATACACAAATTTTATATATTGGAACCTAGCTCTTACATATTATTAGTGGAATATTTGTTACATACATGTAGAGTGTATTATGTTTATACAATGTATGTAGAATTGAATCCATTGATTTCGACCTTTTTATTTATCAGTCTGCAATTCACATTACAAAATTATAAATATGAAATTCTGTCTTTTTTTCATCTGAAGATTAACTTGTCTAGAAGAAGATGGACGAATCGTTCCAGGGATCATAAGAATCAATGCCATGTGTATAGAGTCTGAAAGCTTGTTATCAGATAGTGCTGTACTAGGGAATATTGTGACCTTAGGACTGCATATTGCTGAATTTATCAATGGATATCAGGTAATTTAATGATCAAAGATTGTACATTTCCCTCAGAAAAGATTATTATGGAAAATAGATGAAATTTCAATAAAAAAATGAAAATAAAATACTACAGCACTAATGCCAAATTATTTCATTTATATCAGTAATTTTATATGTAAAAATTATCATGGGAAAAAAACTGAGTTTTGGCCAATTTAAATTTACTTCATTTCCAAGCAAGAAGTTTACTTGTTTTGCTATATTTAAATTTGCCATTTTAGAATTTAACCCTGAAATATGTGATAATAAATCATGAATAAAATTTCCCTGTTTGTTTATTACATGACTGTATAGCAATAACAATTTGTGCCTGATTTGTACAGTGTGTATTAAGAAAACTTTCCTCTAACATTAGGCAGCCACACACCTGGATGTGGATTTACATCATCTGGATCATGTCCGACTCACAGCTCCATTTCAACTTTTCCAAATCGACTTGAATGAAAAGTGTATAGATAAACCTTCATCTTTTCTGGACTTGAAAACAAGTGTCAGTGTAACAGCGTCTGATACAGGTCATGTGACTGCAGTTATTTACTGGTTTGAATTTGAACTGTGTGAAGGAATAACTCTGTCAACCTTAGATTCAGTGTTTCCATGGAATCAAGCAGCTGTGATGATGAAAGCATGTGACCTTGACCTTGTTTGTGGTCAACAGGTTAAAGTTCATGCAACTTTGAAAAACAGTTGTATAGGAATTACTATTGATGATGAATTCATGGAGGGAGGGTAGAAATTGTAACTATTGAATTTTTATTGAAATACTGTACACAAGGACCCCCCCCCCCCATTTTGTCTCTTGACTGAATTCTCTCACTTAAAATGCGGCAAAACCATGTTTCAAAGAAGTCATAGGACTTATTTCTTTAAAAAAAAACAGAGTGCCTTTGAGTAACCAATGTGCTTTGTTTGTTTCTAGGTCAGGCTTACATATATGAAAAATCCTTGATAGGGCTTCAAATTTTTGGGTAACAGTGGCAAGTGAATCAAAACTTATATGGTCCGAAAAAACTGTGTACCAATTTGGAATCCAAATAAATATGAATTAAAACCTGCTTTTCTCTCTCCTTGAATATTTTATTTACTTGCATAGTCTTTATATAAAAAATCCTTTTTCAACCGTAAGGTGCCTTTGGGTAACCGGTGTGCAGTGACCTTGAACCATGTTTCTAGGTCAAAGGTCAAGGTCATAGCAGAATTATATGAAACATCCTTGTCCGGAGCACATCGTCTCTCTTCTTGGCCCTATCTGGCTCATACTTCACTCACAGAATGCCACTGATCAATGGATGTGCAGTGACTTTAATTGGTCGAAGTTTCTAGGTCATGGTCAGAATTAGCCTGTCTGTTTAAAATCTTTGATTGGTGCATAATTTTTCCATCCCTATAACTTGATACAAGATAACTTTCGGCCATTAAATTTGCAATATTTTTGAATTACTTTCACTGTAGACACAAATTTCCTTTCAAAATAAACCCTTTTAAACTAGTTAAATTTTCATGTGACCTTGGCCACCATCTCAATGATACTACACAAGGTCATGGAAGAAGTGGATGTTAAGTTAAACTTTATATATTTCTGACTTTGATTATGTGGTATCAACCAATTAGGGATAAGTGGGTTCATTAGGACAAAATTGTTTAAAACTTTACAGTTGACTGCAAACAATTAAAATGCTCCATCTTTAAAAAAAAAAACTTTGAATATGCAAATTTCTTGCAAGTGAAAAAAAGCTGTGTATAATTTTTTTACCAACTTGAATTTTATGAACTAAAATAGCACTGGTTAAGAGTATTTCCATTGTTTTCATCATGTAAAATGAAGCAATATGTTTTAAAGCAATTAATAATAGAAAATATGCCTCAGTATTTTTTAGAACTATAGCACTGGTTGAGAATATTTCTTTCATCTGTCCAATATAGGATTAATATCAGAAAATATTCAGCTTTCATCATCTTCCAAATAACAAATTCACATAGAATAGTTTTTAATGTTTTGTTTTATTTCATTAACAAAATCAACAAATACATGAAATGATTGTGTGTACATAGAAAGAAAACAGATCCTACTTTAAACCTGTTCATATGACTACATACCCATTCATTCACTTCCAACAATAAAATTCTGTCACACTTTATATCATAATTATCACACTGACTATCTAAAACGCTGTGTTATACATGTACATTGACATCCAATACATTTCCCTGTGATGTTATTTTATAAATTCAATCCAAATTTTCAGTAAAAGTGAATTTATAGATTTCCACAGGGTGAAAATAAAATTATTTGAACGAAACTCTGCATGCAGACACTGCACATGTATCTGACAAGTCAAAAGATAATTTACACTAAATATGTTTTATCACAGACTCTTTACATTTCATATATTATTCAGTGTGCAAACTGTCTCAAGAACTGTAACATTTCCATTTTTTCAGAATGGAAGATCTTTTGTTAGGTTCCTTTAAAAACAGCAGTAAGGACAGCCTTCCCGACTCCCCCTCCCCATTATTACAGACAATGCCCATATTTCCATGTGAATGACAGTAAACACATAACCTCAGAAATGCATTCTTTGTAGTGATTATTGTGTGGATTTTCTTAGATTTACAAAGTTTACCTTGTTTTGAAGTCTATCCTCGACTTCTCTTAATTACAGATTCCAACACACATACATGTACCAATATGTATAAACTTTGACAATGAAATGTATATGAAGAGCAGTGTATCAATCAAATGCACTGCTGTTATGTATAATACAAATTTTGTCTGGGACATATTCATCTATTATAATACATGTATTTCACTAATACCTTTCACATGTTTTTAATCAACACTATATCTTAAGAATTAAACAAAATTTTCTGCACAGTTTTAAAGCACCTTGAACACTAATAGTCTCTACATACACTTTGGAATGAAATACATTTGAACATGCAAATATTATTGAGAAACTATTGCATTAAACCTTGAAGGACAAGTTTTATCTAAAAATTGTTACAAGTTTTAAATAAATTAAAAAATAAGCAAATCATAATAACCTTTTTAAAGTCCCGAAAAGTAACATAGCACTTGTTTACAAAGCAAACTTAAATATAAAATCTTATTTTTGAAATAGAAATGTACACATGGATTTACATTTATCTACCGATTGGTGGAGATGGTGAACAATACATGTACATGAATGCATTGTATTATATAGCCTTACAATACACACTGCAGAGTCACTTGGGAATAATTTTGGGGGTACAGCAATAAATACATGAATAAATAAATATATGCACCTATGAAACAGAAGAGCTCTTTTTGCCTTTGCTTGAATGTTTGTCAGTAAATGTCTGTGATGGACCTTTGGTGTCCTCACCCCCCTCCTCTGGTGATTTTTCTATATTTAGAGCTTTCAGGATCTTGTTTACCAGAGTATTATCCACTGCTTGGGGTCCTGTAAATTAAAAATAATTCAGTAAACAAAAAAACATTTCAAATCATGGAATTCTGTGATTTCATATTAAAGAATGATGGAAACAGCAAACATTTTAAAAATAAATATGGCCAATTTTGCAAGAACTGTTTGTCTAGTTCTTTAAATTAAAAAATATTAAAATGTTAAAGACATGCATGTTTTCTTTTGATAGAGGAATCCCAGTAAAGAATTTTTCAGATTTTTATGAAATATCAGAGTGTGTCTGAAGATTAATATCTAATTCTAAAGCCTCCTATTCACCATAAATTCAGACTGACCTCTAAACAATATAAATAAATTAATATCCTAGGTGGCATCTTCATCATCCAAATATTCTCCTTTTTATTTTACCCAGAATTCCTTCATCTTCCTCATCATCATTATTAACAGAGCCACTAGATGGTCTTTCTGAATTTTGAGACTTTCCCTCTGAAACAGAATCAGAGGCAAAATGTTTCAAATTTTTTTTACTGCAATACATTGACTTGTTAACATGCTGATGATGAAAATTCCACTAGGTGTCTTATACACTTTTTACACCATTAGTCTACTTGCACTTGCTTTTATTTCAATCCAAAGGATCTCAAAGAAACACTCTTAGAAAGAAAACTCCTTCACGGCACATGGCACAAATGAAAAATTCAAATGACTGAAAGAAATGAGAAAGTGGTGTAGTTTGGTTTGGGGAGATTTATTAGTAGTTTGCTACCTACCTGTCTTAGTATTCACTATTCCTTCCACAGTACCATTAACTTCTTTGTCAAGTTCTGCATAAGCTGTGATTATAGCCCTCTGTTCTTGTGTCAGAGATCTAAATATTGTTTGACAGCATGAATTATCTGCATAACATACTGAGCAAATTACTGCTCTTTTTTTTTTCTTTCTTTAATGTGTACTTGATACATTCATATATTTTAATAAACTGTAAATTACAGTTAAAATATGATTTAAAAATGTCTGACTTACTTTGGAATTTTAATCTTGAAATGTACATAATGGTCACCATAACCATAACTATTGACCCTGGTGATCCCTTTCCCAGAAATGCGTATCCTGTCATGGGACTGAGTGCCCGCTGGAATCTGAAATTTAGTCGAATTAAAATCTCCTCAAATGTCTGTATCCATTTTAGTCTAGAATTTCATTAGACAGAGACATAATTCCACAATTTGGATCTCCCTTAAACATATTTTCTTATTGTAATTTCTCAATTTGGGTTATACATGTAATAATCTCCATCGAACATTAATGTTTTGCAATTCCTCGATTTGGGTTATATTTATCTCCATCAAACATTCATGTTTTGTAATTCCTAAATTTGGGAAATATAATTATCTCCCTTGAACATGAATATTTTTTCGTAATTCCTTAATTTGGGTTAAAATTATCTGCCTTGAACATGAATGTTATTCCACAAATAACCTTTTTAAAGTTTTTTTCATTGAAATCTAGTGAAACTAAAACAACTTTCCTATTCTATGAATTCAAAATTTAGTCAAAACAGAACCTGATCGAAAGGAAAATCCAACCTCTATACTTTATTTGCTAACACAAACACAAGAAAGACCCCACCAAGTCCAGAATAACCTGCCCTTACCTTGAGGTGAATTTCCTCATAAACGCCTGGTACCCTCACTGTCCCACCCAGGACCGCTTGTGAAAGACTGATGGACACTTCTGAATGAACGTCTGCCCCATCTCGTCTGAACTGATTACTTTTGGCAACCTGAAATGACAATCAATCAACATTGATCCTCCTATAAATATCACAAATCGTTTTTGAAAAATCTTTCTAAATACTGTTTATAGGGTTATTTTTGGCCCGTCTTATTTTCGCCCTTTCACACTAGCAAACAATTTTGCCCCATTTAAAATTTGATTTTTTTACCTAGTTTTTTTTTTTTTACGAAATCTTTCAAAACATAGAACTGCCTTGTAAAATAGTGTGTCCGATAAACCTTGATTGCTGTTCATTCTCATTCACATTCTCTCACAAAAGTTAACAAATCATTCAAAGTTTGAATTCAACTATTTCTGCATGACGAAGTTCTGCCATGGACATTGGACAGGAATAGTATATTTTTCACCTAGTCTGGGTTATGAAATACCCATGATGATTAGCAATATTTGTGCAAGTATGATTTTTTATTTCAAGGCAATGTTTGGGTTCAGGAATGAAGGGGGATGGCTCGACACATAGCCACAGCGATTCCTGTTAACTCATCAAACATTTGCTGAGTAAAAATATTGAAAATCCAGATTCTTATACAGAAGCTCTCTTATACTACAGCCTACATGTACTAATACCTAGTGCTATACATGTGTAAGTCTACAGTAGACATGTTACTACAAAATAACAGTTAATAGGAAGTTTTTTTTACTCACCTGTAATGTGACAAATAGTTCCTGTTTTCCCACCTTCATTCTCAATGTTTGACCATGCTCCACACCTGTAAATAGAAGTAAAAATTAACATACATGTAGCTAAAAGGTATACAGATTTCTGTACAACTTATCAAGCAATCAAGTATCACTAAACAAGCTAAAAATGCTATTAAGGAATGTCAAATGGTTATTTATTTCTTTTTGAAAGATCCTCATCTTTTTTGTATAAGCAAATGTATGGGAATACCAGTCTTTAGCTTTGGACATTTTATGCCAGACTGGTAGTAAATTTACGACAACCTTCATCAAATATTTCATCACCCCTATCCATGGCACCTGAACCCACCTCTGATGTTTTGGAGGTCCGTGTTTGCTCTGCTCCTATTTTGTACTGTTTTATGGACTTTTGATCTTGAGTACTGTTCACAATCTTCATCCAATATTTATTACTGTTTCTTGACTCACCTGCTGGGACAGGTATGTTGACAGTTTTGGGCATCACAACGGAACCCTTCCCATTACACTCTGTACATTTATGTTTGATGATCTTCCTTCTGCCCTGACATTTTCTACAGGTGGAACGCATCATAAAGGGACCAGTGTTAACAGTTTCCTAAAATTGAAAAAAAAAAAATCTCAATGAGATATTTGTAAAATGTATAGAATATGTTTTGGTGTGAAAGTTAACATTTATCTCCAGTTATAGCCAAAAATTTTTTATTTACATGCTCATAACAATAAAAATTTCATTCAAATATATTACCAGCCCTGATCCATTACACTGGGGGCAGGTTTCTGCTGACGTTCCCGGCTCTGCTCTTCTGCCCATACATTTCGGACATTCATCGACGACATTCATTTTCATCTGTTTGTTGATGCCTCTGGCTGCCTCCTCAAATGACAAGTCCAGGTATACCTGTAATTAAATGAGAAATCTATTTAAAAGATAATTTATGATTTAATTGGAAATCTGCATAAGTGTCTTACCTGCTCTGTACTGAAAAATATTCATATTATCTATTCTCACCATGAAGCTTTAAGAAAACAACTTTATTCTTATTAAAATTTATCCCATAACAATGTGCTTTTTAGATTATCTCTTTGCAAAATAATCCTCTTTTACAAGAAGCTAACTTGGAAAAATAAGATGAGATGAAAAGAGGTCAGAGAACAAATGGAAAAAGAATTTTTCTTGCAACTGTCTTAATCCTAAGATAAACCCATTTGGCAGTGAATATCTTATATGTCTAAGAAGTAGTTTTTTATTTTTTTTTTTGAACTTTAAAAAAACAAACCTCAGATGCCTGTCCAAATCCAAACTGGGAGCTTTCGTAATCTTCACTCTCACCAAAGTTTCCAAACTTGAAATTATCTCCAAAGATATTTCTAAATAACTCCTCTGGATCGACATGAGTTCGGAAACCTGATCAACAAAGCATTGGTATTTGAAGATTGTTTATGCATTTCAAAGAAATTAAGATACTGTGGATTCCGAAAATTAAGATACTGTGGATTCCTAATTATACGCGAGGAATTTATCATCGCATAATTTCACGAGAAGCATCACTCACGAAATGAAATATCGCGCTTTTATTTACATGGTGCTGAAATACATGTAAATTCTCTTGATCAACCATCCAATTGCGAATTATTACTCTGACTCATGATTTGCTGTTCAATAGCCATTTTGTGATAAAAAGTACTTGTGAAAAATAAGGAATCTACAGTATCTTGCTCAGATATGGAGAAAACATCTTTTATAATAAAAGTTTATTACCTCCTTGTCCCCCATAGGCTCCCCCAAATCCTTGGAATCCAGGGCCACCACCAGCTGACTGGGGACCAGCCTGGCCGAACGTATCGTACTGTTTTCTTTTTGAATCATCGCTTAACACCTGAAACAAAAAGAAATATAGAAAAAGAAATTTACAGGTTCTTCAAAATTCTGTAATATACAGTCTGTTCAGCAGTATAAATTGCAGAATAAAACAGTTCCTGATTAACAACTTTTTCTTCCTGCAACTTTTACATCTGAAATGGCACTCTCATTTTTAACCTATTTTTATTTTCAAAATCATACCTCATAGGCTTCTGCAACCTCTTGGAATTTCTTGGCAGCTTCTTTGTTGTCTTTGTTTACATCTGGATGATACTTTTTGGCAAGCTGAAATCATATTTAACAAATGCTTACATTATGGATAAAGGTGTGGTTTAAAATCCTGAAAATGTCTTACTTGTACCAATCCTATTAAAAGACTATTACCTTTTCAACTTTCAATATATGCTTTGCATAATCTTGAAAAATCTTAAATGGGACATTTAAAAATGAGATCATTTAAGCAGACATTTCGATAACACAATAGCTTCTTTTCATGCAAATTGTGGCTAAGTTTATTGCATACAAGGTACACACTGGTGTCACATTAATACACAGATGTAAAAAGCATAAAGATTAAAATAGCTATGCCCAGTGATGCCCAATTTCGAACCTTGTAATAGGCCTTTTTGATTTCCTTCTGATCAGCAGTCCTAGGTATCCCTAGTATCTTGTAATAGTCTTCTTTAAAGTTCAATGAGGAAGTGTGAAATGTCTTTCTTTCAAGAAATGTACTTTTTGGTACACTCACTGCAACAGAAACATTTCAACATGCCAGATGATGTGGAGAAAGAAAAAAAATCTCTTTATTAATTGTAAATGTAAATGGCATAAAATTGCAAGTTCAAAATGGATTGCAATTATTAAATTGAATTATCTTTGGTGCAATTTTGATGCATGCTTGCTCAGATTGCTGACTGAGATTCAACTTATTTATCAATGCCGAACGGATAACAGAATCTGGTTAATACATCTTTCTGTCTAGAATATTCTACATGCATGTCTGATTTATGAAAATTATTATTGGAAAAGATATCAACTAAGATATCCAATGAAAAAAATCATTTTTGTTCAATCGGGGTTGCATTTCAATTGTTTTCTACTTCTTTTTTAAAATATGATTCAAAATGTAGTACCAAATTGTTTAAATCAATGTCCTTGGCAGAGTTATATAAGATTATGCAACAGATTATGCATACCTGTAAAATTCATTTCTATTTCGCTTGAGAAGAGTTTACCTTTATCAATAAATTACATTAATTCTCTTTTGATTTTTTCTCAAAAATTCTTTAAATGATATGTTTAAATTCATGGGTATATTAAATTCATGTGACGCAATACAGTTATACACATGATAAAACTAGGGTCACTGGTTAATTTTCTATTCTCACCTCTGGATTTGTCCTGAGACTGATGCAATTTAGAGAAAGACGAGGAGGCACAAACTGAAAAGGTGCCAACATTCTCAACCGAAATGTTGAGAAGCTTGCTGTTGTTCTCAGAGAAACTGAGTTTTTTCAAGGGCCACCGACGGCATGCCTGTCTGAGGGTCGCCATGCTGTTTCAATGTCACACAAATGGGATGAAAATCTCACTTCCGAAAATCCGTCATTAAAATATGTTTAAAATTCTCATTTATTTTTATTTAAATGAATTTTCTAGGTTATATTATACTTGGAAAATAAAGTATATTAAGTTTGGAATATATCATTTGTTTAGCATTAATTTGAGGAATTTACTGAAATCCGAATGTCCTTTTGGTTCTCTAAAAAATACAATAAAGTATAAAACCAAACCCGGAAACAAAAGTTGAGGAAACAGAAACAGCGAACCGGGGGTCCTGCGATTGTTTAGGGATTTACTCAGCTATAATTTACAGAAAAATGATATTATAATCTCGATTACAAAATTTTTCAATCAATAAGGTAATCATCTTCGATCCATGCATCAAAGTTGCAAAGAAACACACTGTATCGTACCCGCCCACTTACTCGAATTTCCTCGAAGATAGTGTATATGTCAGCATCTCATTTTGACAGATTTTCTTTATTTCAGTTGTCATTGTCATCTCAGGTAGCAGGATGGCCTGGCGATTTAAGGCTTCAAAATATAAAAATGCAGCTCCAAGAACAGTTAAAAAAGAGGTACCTTTTCTTTTTAAAATTGGAAGTATTTTGACCCAGCTAGGGAATAATTATTTTAATGTCAATAATGAAGCTCTGTGTCTGATTGTTGCATGTTATAATTTCTATTGCTTCAGAATAGTTCCATGTAACGTTCATTGCTGTATACTGTATATAAAGTTCAGAAAGTCTCATTCATAGTGGCATAAAGTTCTATATTAGGTTGTAGTTAGAATGTGTCATCAAACTGTGACTTGACACAAGCCCTAGCTACTGTGTTCTTGATGGAATCTAGCTCTTATTACCCAAGGTGCCATGACATATCATCATGCCTGGAAAGTGGCAATAAAAAAACTGCCAGGGATCACTGGATGTAATGTCAGCACACATTTGATATGCTATGTCGTCTCAGGGACTAAAAATTTTGGCTTTAAACAAGTTAAAACATGACGGACGTCACGATTTTATTAAATCCAAAATATATTTAGTCCCTATGAACATGAACATCTTAAATAAACGCTGACATTACACCGGATGTACCCTGCTCTAGGGTCTTGAGGGGTAATGATAAATTTTATAAATAGGGATAAATAAAATCAAGGAAGATCATATGATGGTGAATGAATGTTGAAATTAATGTATAGTTCATCTTGAAGTTCCATGAAAATAAAGAACAATGGTTTCAAAAGTGGGAGGGGGGCTTAACTGACCAAAAAAATGGAATGGGGATGGGGGCAACTTTCTATAATGATGTTACAGTCCCCCTAATTAACTGTCCACATCCTGAAAATTACAATTCCCTGTAGTGCACTGACCTAACAGCAACAAAAAGTGGGAAGGGGGTGGAAGGATTAGCATGATCTGGGAAATTTACTGAGATTAAAAAAAATGAACATAATTAGAATTAACCCAGAAAATATATATGCTCTAACAAATGCACTTCCTTTTTCTGTAGCATTAAATTGACAAGTTATTTTTTAAAAAATAAATTAAAACATACCCATATTTCTCATTCTGCATCATACCTTCTATTCAGGAATGGATTGGCGATATTTCTGCAGGGAATTTGATGCAGTGCAGTGGTAATCACATTAAAGCTGGATGCATTTATATGACGTTTAACATTGATTCATCAGGTAGGTTTGTTTGATTTTCACTTGCATTAATATCATTGAATAAAACTTCATGTATAAACATTCAAATGATCTTTGCTAATAATCAGTTATTAAATTTTAATGTTCTTAACAAAATAAAAAGGAACAGATTTTCAACACTTTAGGCTTTTGGAGTTGTAAATGTATTTCAACTTTGATTTTTTGTTGTTGTTTGTCTTATAAATGGAAATTAATTTAAAAAAAAAAAATTCTTTTCAGGGGGAGGTAACCTGGGTTTGTTGCCTGTAAGTAGCTCTGGAAGGCTTGTGAATGGTTTGCCATTGTTGCCAGCTCATGGTGGTCAGTTAACTTACTGCATGACAGCAAAGTCAAGTGATGAAAGCAGCTAAAAAAATGTCAATGTATTCCAAGCTAAGATCATTTTAGAAGGATCAATACAAAGTGTTTTAGGCCTGTATAAAGCATGTCAATATTTCTGTGGTTTGAAAGAAGTAAAAGCATGTTTTTGGTCTTGCTCTTGATAGAGATAGAAATTTTTTTATTGCATTTTGGAATTGGAGCTAATTGTGAAAAAAACCCAGGAATAATGTATATTTTTTAGAAGCTGGTGTTGTTTTGCATTAATGTTTTAATTTTTGCATGAATTTCCATGCAGTTTTGCATAATTTTTACAGATTTTGTCCAATATGTTTCCATATAAAATCAAGCATTGATTTCAAAATGATATATGTATAAGGGTTTTTTGTCATTTCTGAATGATTTTGAAATTTCAGATTTTGTGACAGACTTTGAGTTCTCTCCCTTCGATGATTATCTCTTGGCCACAGGATCATCTGACAACTCAGTGAGTTTTACCCCCCCCCCCCCCCAAAGTCCTAAAATTATTCATAATAAAAATTATAGATTGTAACTTAAAAAAAAAGAAATAGATTCAAAATAAAACAATGAATAAAAATTGATACTTTTTGATGATTCCAAGACTGAAAATTTAGTCTTTTACAGGGTTTGTTTTTTTATACACATATTAGTGCTTGGTATCAAGTAAATAATAACTGCAAATTTGCAATATTTTTCCGAATAATTAATGAAGAAATAATTAAGCCCAGGTATGGAAAACATTTGTATTTATATATATATTATCTCTGAAGGTTAAAGTATGGCTATTGCCAGAGGAAGACAAACTTGATGAGTTGTCTACCTTGAACCCAGTGGTGGTTGTCCCTAAACAGAATCGTAAGATAGAGAACGTCACGTGGAACCCAGTAGCAGAGGCTGTGCTGACTTACACCAGTCAGGACTCTGTCTCTCTGTTTGATGTCACAAACCAAGAGGAAAAACTGTGTATGTTACAGATATTTACTAAAGAATGTAATGTGAGGGAGAGAGTGTGTACATATGTAAGTGTGATAGAAATTGTGTGAGACAGAGATATATAGAGAGTTAGAGAGATATAGAGTCATGAGAGAGAGAGAGAGAGAGATATTGAGAGTGAGAAAGTGGGAAAGAGGGAAAGAAAATTGTGTAAAAGAATCTAAAATAAACCAAGTATTTCAATATGATTTACATATGAAAGACAATTGAAGTAAAATATAAACCAAAAAAAAATTCTTAGAGAGGATCTTAGCTACATATATGTACATGAGTATGTATTTAAATCTATAGCGTTATTTTTAAATATACAGCACTCTCTGACCACAAGGACCAGATCCAGAGCCTCAGCTGGCGAGGTAATGGACAAGTGTTTGTGACGTCCTGTAAGGATAAGCGCCTCCGGATCATAGATCCAAGGGCCAGTTCTGTTGTTCAGGTAAACTTCCTGAAAATTTTTGTTTGTTTAGAAATACTGTGTTACATTTTATTTGTTTAATTTGGAACAAGTCTATTTTTAAATTACAAGATATGATGCAGAAAAATGCCTCAAATCAGCAAAACAGCTTTGGTCAGTTTGATACAAGGAAAAAATTATTTTGTATTTTATGTGATCAAATGTTCTGATCAATAAATCCAGAATTGTTGAGTGAATACATTGTATCAGATTCCTATGATATGATATCTTAAATACATGTAAATATTAATAATATAATCCATGTAAATATTTCTTTTGCTGTAGGAAACTCAGGGTCATGATAATATGAGAGATTCTCGTGCTCTCTGGTTGGGTGATAAAGACATAATATGTACCACTGGTTTTAGCAGAGTAAGATATGTACCAAAGTGCTTAATTCATATTTTACACAGTAACTCTGTTGATTCTGGTCCATGTGAGCCAAAAGTTCAAGTTTACTTTGCCATTCAAATTTTTCCTCATAATGTTCACAATATGTTTATTATGTGAGAGCTATTTGCCATTTTTAGTAAGCTTTAGTAAATAAAACTATTAATCAGAATTTCTGTTTTGGGAGCCTAATTTAAATATACCTGAATTATATTAGAACATTAATCAATCTTGCTGTTGTTTTGTAGTCCAGAGAGAGGGAGGTGAAGTTGTGGGACCTGAGAAATTTTTCCTCCTCCGTCTCCACAGTGGGCATTGATTCTTCTACTGGGTCTGTATCTCTTCTCTGTGGATTGAATATAAAGCTTTTTCAGTGTGTACTGTCTTGTAACTTTGAATTTATTTTTTCTTTCAGAACTTTGATTCCATTATATGATGCTGATACTGGTATGCTCTTCTTATCTGGAAAGGTAAAGAGAGTCAAGAAACTATGGAACATGCTATATATATATTATGAATCACTTATATTTTACATATTTATCATATCATTTTCTCTTTGGTGCAAGGCAAAAGTGTATTAACCGAATATACATATGTAATTGGAGTATTTTTGCATATCACCAACAAAGTAAGGAGTAAGCATTACATTTATTACATACTGAAAAATTCCTTGTTGTGCTGAAAAATTGCAACTAAATTCTTAAATTTCACGAATGAAATATAATATTTTAGATTCAGTATCTAATGCAATGTTGCCAGCACAATAAGTATTTTTTAAAATGTCTCTCCATGTTATCATAATTTGCATTGGAGAATCATAGTTGACAAACAGGATCTTTTTTTCATGTGCAGGGTGACAGTAATGTTCGGTATTATGAAATATCAGAAAAAGATTCGTCTCTCACAGAAAGTAAGTAATGTTTCTATTTCATCACATACATGTTATATATAAGAATAAGAAGGCAATGTTTTTCACATTTTCAAAATCAGGTTTTAAACACTACATGTACTAGTCATGTCACTTGAAACTACAAGGTAGAATGAGGCCTATTCATTCTACAGTCTTTTGATGTTATGTGGTATTCCAAAAAAATGGATAGAACTAGTTTGTGAATTCTGATTGGTCTTTTTTTAAGATAATGTGACCAGGACAGAGCAAGTTAAGGGGATTGGCATGGTGCCAAAGAGGGCGCTAAATGTCATGGAAGGGGAGGTCAATAGGTTACTTATACTGACC